TTTTTACAATTCATATTTTTTGTGTTCTAAAATATAGTAGCACTGTTTTATAATAAACATTTGTAACTCAAAAGGGCATGCTCAAATTCTTTTTACTGATAGGAATATAGAAAATTGTATCTAGGGCATTATTTCTATCTGATGGCCGGTTGTGTGGTATAAATTAATTTCTCCTAATGTTGGACCTCAATCTCAAAAGGTAAAAGAATAGTTTGCCAATTTAATGCTGCACCACAGTTTAGTTCTAGGATTTCTCAAAAGGATTACTCAAGCAATAATAATAATAAGACTAGTAGTAATAATATCGTATATTACAAAGCTTTCTAATGCCTCATAAATAATATAAAAACAAGCTTGGGCAATAGAATAATTACTGATTTTCAAATGTTACTGCTTCATGTGTAGTTACAAGTGTTAATCATGCTATTAAAATTTGGTGTACATTTACAAGGGAAAAAGCAAATTGAAGTTTTAGTAGAGCAGAAAAACACTAGCTTTAAATGTGAAATCTGAAACCACGAAGAGCCGTTCAACTTTCCTACTATTCAGGAATGATTACCGAAGGCAGATGGACTGCAAATGCAAATTGAACCCTCAAGTGCAGTTTCTTGCTCTCCATATTGGCAGAAATGTTTCAAGCCTGATGATGAGGGGGTTGGTGAGGACGTGGGGATTGCTCTGGTAGAAAGCAGTACTGCCATTTTGGAGAGCAATTTGGCAACATTTTCAGAGATAAAAAAGCTCATGCCATTCATTGTCTCTGGATCCACTTTAAGGCAACACTCTTAACAAGGGGCATGCACAAGCATGTTCACTGCAGCGCCAGTGTTAATAGCAAACAGTTGGAGATGCCATCATTGGGGGAATGGTTTTTGTCCTGGCCAGTGTGGCTCTGTTGGTGGAGTGTTGTCCCGTGTACCGAAACTTTGCCAGTTAGTCTCCCTGGTCAGAGCATACACCCAAGTTTCGGGTTACCCTAGTCAGGGTGTATATGGGAGGCAACCAATTGATGTTTCTCTCTCACATCCATGTTTCTCTTGCCCTCCCTCTTCCTTCTTCTCTCTCTAAAATCAATAAAAACATATTTTTTAAAAGTGACTTAAAAAAAAGTAAAATGTAATTTGTATACCATAAACTTCACAGTCTCTAAATGTACAATGCATTGCTTTTTGGTATAGTCACAGGGTTGTGCAACCACCACCACCATCTAATTCCAGAACATTTTTGTCACTACAAAAAGAAACCCTCTACTCATTTATAGTAACTCCCATGTCCCATTTCCCCTTTAGCAACTACTAAGTTGTCTCTATAGATTTACCTTTCAGGACTTTTCATATAAATGGATTACAAAAGATGTCTTCTGTGTCTGACTTCTTTCACTTAGTATGTTTTCTTTTTTTTTTTATCCTCACCCAAGGACATTTTTTCCATCCTTTGTTCTGATAGAGCGGGAGGGAGAGAGAAGAAGAGAGAGAGAGAGAGAAACATCGATGTGAAGGGGCACATCGAGTGGCTGCCACCTGCATGACCAACCAGGGCCGGGGACAGACTGCAACCGAGGTACGTGCCCTCAGCGGGAACCGAACCCGGGTCTCTCTGCACCGTAGGCCGACGTTCTAACCGCTGAGCCAAACCGGCCAGGGCTCACCTAGTATGTTTTCAAGATTCATCCATATTACTGCATGAATTAGTGCTTCATTCCTTATTTATATATGTGTGTGTGTATTTATTGATTTTTTTTAGAGAGAGAGGAAGGGGGGGAGAGAGAAATATTGATGTGAGAGAGAAACACCCCCATTGGGGATCAAACCCATAACTCAGCATGTGCCCCCTGACTGGGAATCAGACTGGGACCTCTCAGTCCATGGGATGACACTCAGTCTACTGAGCCACACCAGCCAGGAGTGCTTCATTCCTTTTTATTGCTGGGTAATATTCCATTGTGTGGATATACTACAATGTTTATCCATTTATCAGTTGATAGACATTTGGGTTGTATCCACCTTTGGGCTATTAAGAATAATGCTGTTAATGAACATCCACGTACAAGTTTCTGTAGGAAAGTATGTTTTAAGTTGTCTTGGTGGAATTCCTGAGTCCTGTGGTAACTCAGTTTAAATTTTCAAGGAACTGCCAAACTGCTTTCCCACATCAATTGCACCATTTTACAATGCCACCAGCAATGTAGGAGGGTTCCAGTTTCTCTATAGCCTTGCCAGCACTTGTTTTCTGCATTTTTAAAATTATAACCATCCTAGTGAATATGAAGAGGTATCTCATTGTGGTTTTGATTTGCATTTCCGTGATGACTAATGTTAAGCATCTTTTCATGTGCTTCTTGGTCGTTTGTATATCTTCTTTGAAGAAATAGCTATTCGATCTGTGGCAATTTCTTTTGGGGGGGGTGTGTATATGCCCCTAGCAGGAACTGAACCTGGGACTCTCTGGTCCACAGGCCGATGCTCCAACCGCTGAGCCAAACCGGCCAGGGTGAATCTGTGGCATTTTTATGTTACACTGTAGAACTGTTAAAAGGAATGAGGCAGCCCTGGCCAGTTTGGCTTAGCGGTTAGAGCATCAGCCTGCGGTCCAGAGAGACCCAGGTTCGGTTCCCACTAAGGGCACGTACCTCAGTTGCAGTTTTTCCCTGGTCCTGGTTGGTCGTGCGGGTGGCAGCCACTCAATGTGTCCCTTTCACGTCAATGTTTCTCTCTCTCTCTCTTCCTCTCTCTCCCTCCCACTCTATCTGTACAAAAAATGGAAAATGTCCTCGAGTGAGGATAAAAAAAAAAGCAATGAGACAGATCTGCATGTAATAATCCCTGATCTGTTATTACATATAGATTAAGACTTAACACTGAGCAAAATAGCAAATAGTAGAAAGATACATTACAGCACCATAAATTTTATATGAATACACACAGGTGTGTGCCTTGTGTATACACACACACAGTGTGTGCGCACACACATATGCACACACCAGGACTGTATGGTTAAATAGAAATATGTAAGGGGATAGAGAAGGGTCTGGAAGAATATTTCCCAAACCTATCAAGATGGTTGGTTACCTTGGGGCAAGAAGAGAGACAATTAAGATGAGAGTCGGGGGTGGGATCTCATCAAAAGGGACTTTTGTCTTTTCTATAACATCTTACCAAGTATTAATGAAGTGTTTGCTTAATAACATAAAACTCCTTAAAATGTATACACAATTTGAAAAGATAAGGACAAAGAAGCGATTGGGAAACTCCAGCTGGAGAGGGTTGGAAACAGTGTTTCCTGCCGTCCTGCAGATGCGGACAGTGACTCCCTGTATGGCTCATCTCTTTTCAAAGTAATTTTATTAGTCGTTTAATAATATATAACAATTCAAATAGCCTAGAGGTTCATAAGTTAAAATTGTTCATCTCCTCTCTTCACCTCAAGTCCCTCCTTCCCCAGGGCAATTCGTGTTAGTGCGACTCCTTTTCCCAATAAACTTCTGTGTTCTATAATTGTCTCCTCACCCCTCCCAACAAAGTATGTTTCTTCAGCTGTCTATAATTGATGGAAAGCTCCTTCCTCTGCTGGGGGAAGGGGGTCTGTTGCTAAGTGTCTATGACAGTGGTTTTCAGGCTTGCTTTGTGTCACCCCCTACCAGAGATAGTGGTTCAGTATGTCTGGAGTTCTGCTCTACTGTCTTTATTTTTTAAAAAGCTCCCATGGTGATTATAATGAGCCAGCAGGGTTAAGAATCGTTTACCTAGCCCGGCTGGTGTGGCTCAGTGGTTGAGCGTGGACCCATGCACGAAGAGGTTGCTGGTTCGATTCCAGGTTAGGGCATGTGCCTGGTTGCAGGCTTGATCCCCTGTGGGGGGTGTGCAGGAGGCAGCTGATCGATATTTCTTTTTTCTTTTTTCTTTATTGATTTTAGAGAGAGAGGAGAGAGAGAGAGAAACATCGATGAGAGAGAACATTGATTGGCTGCCTCCTGCATGCCTCCACTGGGGATCGGGCCCACAACCTAGTCATGTGCCCTGACCAGGAATCAAACTGGCGACCTCTTGGTGCATGGGTCCATGCTCAGCCACTAAGCTATACCAGCCGGGCTCTCATCGATGTTTCTGTCTCTTTCTTCCTCTCCTTTTCTCTTTCTCTAAGATAATCAATGGAAGCTTATTTTTTAAAAAAATCATTTACTTAGTGAGTAACACAGCAGTCATAAATTGTATCCATGATGCTTCTTTGAGAATTATTTTATGGGAGACTTATGAGCCTGTCAGCTTTATGGAAACATGCCTGACCTTAGATGGTCTGTTTTATTCCAAGAATTTCACAGAATTTTTACTTTAGGTTACTTTCAGCATTGGGATTTTATCTCTAAATATTCCACTTTGAGCTGCTGAGTCCAAGAAAGTGATCTTGGATTCATTTTTTTTTCTTTATTGATTTTAGAGAGAGGGAGAGAGAGATAGAAGCATCAATGAGAGAGAACATTGATTGGCTGCCTCCTGCATGCCCCCTACTGGGGATTTGGCCCACAACTGGGCATGTGCCCTGACCAGGAATCAAACTGGCGACCTGTTGGGGCATGGGTCGATGCTCAACCACTGAGCCACACTAGATTCCACTGAGCTGGGCTAGATTCATTTTTGAAAATAGTAGGAATAAGGGGCAAACTTAGCATGTAAGATTTCTCCCATTTCATGGTGATGATGGATGTAGAAATAATCAGAGGTATTAAATCTTCTGGGTCAGGCAGACAGACTGTCCTTGCGTACTATTTTGTAAACTCCCCCACGCCAATTTTTGTAGACTTTATTATAGTATGTTTACCTGAGGTGCAAGTCAGAAACTCATAAAACTTCACACTAATTTCCATTCTTGTGTTTTCAGACATGAAATTGCAGAAATCCATAAAAGCCATTTAGAGACATAATATTCACTTTCCCTAGAATAATAAACCTGAGTAATCTTTCTCACACCTTAAATTTATGTTAAACTTACATTTTCTCTTCTAGGTATTCTCATGGGAGCAGTTATAAAAATTATAGAGTTTAAAAAACTGGCAAATTGGAAGGTAGGTTTGCCCAACTATTCATTTTTCAATGTAATTATAATTTTTATTGGTTGTTATTTTTAGTAACACTGATGGTTATGGTGGCTTTCTTATCAGTGAAGTTTACATTATTATATAAATTTATTTAACATTCTATTAAATTAGGGTTGATACTTTCACATTTGAGTGGGTTTTTTTTAAAGCATATATCTGTTTCAAGTTAACATGCGGCACTCAATATTATGTTATGTTATTTATGCACATTTTTATAATCTTAGGGAAAGGCTCTAATTAGCATTACTTATTTTTATTTATTTATTTAAATTAATTTAGACAGAGGAAGGGGGAAAGAGAGAGAGAGAGACTGATCGGTTGCCTCCTGCACGCGCCCTGACCGGGGATTGAACCTGCAACCTGGGTATGTGCCCTGACCAGGAGGAATCAAACCTGCCACTTTTTGGTGTATGGGCCGACGCTCCAACCAACTAAGCCACACTGGTTGGGGATCTAATTAGCATTAAATATTGAACAGTGTTCATTGCTCCCAATTCCATTCTTACAGCTGAGAATAATAAAACATACTTGTCTAGCACTGTAGAGCTTACAGAATGCTTTACAAACTGTAGCTCATGTTGTCCTCATAATTTCCATGGGAGGTAGATTGAGTATTATTATCATACCATTTTACAGATGAAGAAAGTAATGCTCAGAGAAGTCGGGACATGTCCAACATCACAGAACTAGAAAGTGGCTGAGTTGAGTCATGTGTCCAGACCCTCTGGTCCTGTGTATTCTATATTTTCTCCACACATCATGCTGTCCTTAGTGTGTGGATGTCCATACCTTTGTGTTTACACAATGGTCATTAGAGAGTGAGCATCATCTTGTGGTATGAAGACCAACTGAAACTTGAATTTCAACTTAAACTTGAGCATCCGATATTGAGTAGAGGGATTAACAAGTGTGTTACAAAGTTGTATTTGTGAATGGACATAAGGTCCATTTCAAAATATTAAAGAATTGGATGGTTAAAATTGATCTAATTTGAGCTCCCACTAGGATTAATGTGCCTATTATGCTGTAGAGTATAAACTTTTACAAACAAGCCGTATAGCCTGACCTAAAACACAATTTGAAACTGTTAAAAATAATATTCAGGAAGCATTGTATGTATTAAATGAATTCTCAAGTGTATATTCAGCTCCTAATATTACAGAACTCCCCTCTGCTGGGGCTGAGACAGGCAGGCCTCACTGGAACACGTTGTAAATGGTATGTCTGCCTTCCTGCAACTTGTTAAATTTAACCATGCTCGCTGTGGCTCGTCCTAGGCCATGGGTGCAGACTAGGCTTGTTAGAGAATTGAACGTAATACATTTTGTTTCATTTGATTTAAAAGCAATTGACTAAAATTGGAATTGATTTAAAAACAATTAAAAATTGCTTGATTTTAAAATATACTTATTTTATATAAAATTTGGGAACTTCCACATAAAAATCTGAACTCCTAGCTTCTGTTGAAAAAGCAGCTCTTTAACATCAGCCCACATTCTGGTAGCAGAGATCCAAGGCACTGAGGGGCAACTGCTCCCCTGGTAATGTGTGGCCCCCAGAAGACTTTGAGTTGGTGACCTTGCTCTGAGTAGTGGGAGGAGGGGATGGGAGGTTACCTCTCACTTTTAGTTTTATACACTTCAGTGTTATTTTTATTTATTTTTTTTATCCTCACCCGAGGACATTTTCCCATTTTTTTGTTCAGGTAGAGTGGGAGGGAGAGAGAGGAACAGAGAGAGAGAGAAACATCGATGTGAAAGGGACACATCGAGTGGCTGCCACCCGCACGACCGACCAGGGCCGGGGACAAACTGCAACCGAGGTACGTGCCCTTAGCGGGAACCGAACCCGGGTCTCTCAGGACCGCAGGCCGACGCTCTAACCGCTGAGCCAAACCGGCCAGGCTACACTTCAGTGTTATTGAATTTGTTTTTCAAAATGTTTCTTTCCAAATAAAAATAATAGTAATACATTTAATAGTACAGACAAGTGAGCCCAAGTTGAGTGATGAATTAAGCACCTGCAGAGCCATCCAGACAACCAGTGCTTGCCCTCAGAACAGGGCGGGGTTTCTGGCGGGGATGGTTGGGGTAGGCTTCCTGGAAGAACAGGTGTCTGTAAAGCCGAAGCGGGAAGCAGCACCCGTTTGGAACCTGGGTGCTGCATGAGGAGTTGGAGATGAGAAAAACAAGGAGCTTGGTGTTTTTTCTCCAAGAAGTTCTATTTTCGGGCTGTCTCACTAGGCCTGCCTTCTACCTGTATTGTTATACACCTGATAGGTTTCTTTAAATCAACTTGCTCTTTTTCTTTTTTGGTACATGTCCTTAGGGGGAACCGAACCCGGGACTCTCTGGTCTGCAGGCTGACACTCCAACTGCTGAGCCAAACCAGCCAGGGGTCAACTTGCTTTTTTATTTATATACATTCTTATAGCAGTTTTTAAAGCTTTATTGTGATAAAATATACATAACATAAAATTTGCCATTTTAGCCATTTTAAATGTACAATTCAGTAGCATTAAATATACCCAAAATGTTGTGTAATCATCACCACTATTTCCAGAACTTTTTCATCATCCCAAGTAGAAACTCTGCCCATTAAACAACTCCCCATCGCCCCCTCACTTTCTATTCTTTTTTTTAGTAGCCCTATTCTATTTTGTCTTCATGAATTTACCTACTCTGAGTACCTCATATAAATGAAACCATACAATATTTAGCCTTTATGTCTGGCTTATTTTACTCAGCATATTGTTTTTAAGGTTTATCCATATTGTAGCATGTATCAACTGCCTTTCTTTTTATGGCTGAACGATATTCCATGTAGGTCTGTGCCACACTTTGTGTATCCATTCCTCCATTGACAGACCCTGGGGTTGTTTCCAGCTTTTGGCTGTTGTAAATAATGCTGCTGTGAACACTGGTATACTATATATACCTGTATTTTAAAGGAAACATCATAATACTGTTTTAAGTGGAAAACCAATATTGTTTTTATACATAAACATGATAAAAACAAAGGAGTACATACGCCTGCTGAAGCCTCTAAGGTCAAACCTGTTCTCTTTGTCAGAAAGAGAGGTCGGCACGCTGGAGAGAGGCGAGGCTGTACACGCAGTAGCACCAGGCCAAGGTGGCTCTGACTTAACTGGGATTGAAAAAGAATGCAAAGGGGCTGACTTTCCCAGTCTGTGGGGTCAGCAGTGTTGGGCACACACTTCTCAAGGGCCACCAAAAATCACCTCTGACTATTTTGGGGGAGATGTTACCAAAAGGAATCAGGGAGCCTAAGGTGGTGGGTGCATTTCCTATGGCCACTGTAACAAATTGCCACAAACTGGGTGACTTAAAACAACTGAGATTGCTCTCTCCTGGTCCTGGAGGCTAGAAGTCTGAAATCAAGGTGTTGGCGGGGTCACACTCCCTCTAGGGAGCAAATCCAGGCTCCTGGGGAGAATCCTTCATTGCCTCTTCTAGCTTCTGGTGGCCCCAGGCGCTCCTTGGCTGTGTCCTTCTCTGTGTCTGTGTGTCCTTTTCTGTCCCTAATGGGACACTCTCATTGGGTTTGGGGCCCACCCTAATCCAGTATGCTCTCATTTGAATTCTTCCCTTAATTACATCTGCAAAGACCCGATTTCCAAATGAGGTCACATTCTTAGGTTCCAGGAAGACATGAATTGGGGTTGGAAGACACTACGCAATCCATTGTAGGTGGGTTCTCCTTTTCCCCAGGGGAGGTTTAGTTTCTGAAACGCCAAAGGAATCTATACAGTGGCCCCACTGCACAGCTCCTGAGAATTGGTTGCCTCACAAAACACACGAATCAGCCCACTTCTTTTCACATGGTCCAAGTCTGAGTCACGAGCTTGTTGTACAGGCTCATTGTACTATTTTAAGACGTAATCAGAAGTCATCATTTGCTTCTATTTTGAACCTTTTAAAAATGCTATTTTAGTCTTCATGGTAACAGCTGTACATTTGTAAGAATACATTTAGTTATTCTTTTGAATAGGGAATTTTGATAAGAAACTAGACTGTCAAGATTGTGGCATAGAAATTTTCATATGAAAAGGGCCTGATTTTGCAGTGTTTAATAGACTGTATATTACATGTAGTCATTTTGGACGTGAGGACCAATATGTATTTTCCCCCAATCCACCAACAATTAGAGAAATCGATTAATATAGAAAATCCAAGTGTTATTTCATCCCACCAAAGTTGGCTGTATCTAGAAACACCTTTCATAATTGTAATTAGTATTTGAATCTGAAAGCACGGTGAGGGGCTGCCTTGATAGGCGTGTCCCAAGTCTCAAAGGCCTCAGGTGGGGACTCTTATCACTGTCAGATTTAGGAAAATGGCAGTTGTATGAGAGGCAGAGAAAAGGTGGGGCTGTCCTAGACCTTTGGAGGGTTTGCTCTTCTCTAAGTGGATTGTTTTAGGGCTTATCATTACCTTTATCCTGGACGGTTCCAATTTGTGGACTTGTTTTTGAAAGTGTTCTGTTTGGTCCTGGCCAGTTGGCTCAGCGATTAGAGCGTCGGCCCACGGACCAGAGAGACCCGGGTTCGGTTCCTGCTAAGGGCACCTATATCGGTTGTGGTTTGTCCCTGGCCCCAGTTGGGGTCGTGTGGGTGGCAGCCAGTTGATGTGTCTCTCTCACATCGATGTTTCTCTCTCTCTCTTCCTCCCTCTCTCCCTCCCACTCTATCTAAAGATAAATACAAAAATGTCCTCAGGTGAGGATAAAAAAAAAAAAAAGAAAGTGTTCTGTTTGAATTGAAATGTTTTCTGTATTAATCTTTTTTTTTTTTTTTTTATCCTCACCCGAGGACATTTTTCCATTTTTTGTTCAGGTAGAGTGGGAGGGAGAGAGAGGAACAGAGAGAGAGAGAGAAACATCGATGTGAAAGGAACACATCGAGTGGCTGCCACCCGCACAACCGACCAGGGCCGGGGCAAACTGCAACCGAGGTACGCGCCCTTAGCAGGAACCGAACCCGGGTCTCTCAGGACCGCAGGCCGACGCTCTAACCGCTGAGCCAAACCGGCCAGGGCTGTTTTCTGTATTAAAATGAACTTTTCTTATTAGTAAAGGATGAAAAGCATATGACTGACTGTTCCAAAGCAGTTCATTCTGCTTTTTCTTTAGCTGGTCACCTTTTAAAGCCACTTATCCTACATTTTTTTTTTTTTATTGACCTTTACCTGAGGATATTTTTTTCCATTGATTTTTAGAGAGAGTTGAAGGGAGAGGGGGGAGGGGGAGAGACAGAGAGAGAGAGAGAGAGAGAGAGACATCAGTGTGAGAGAGACACATTGATTGGTTGCCTTCCGCTTACTCCCCAACCGGGGCCGGGTAGTGAACCTACAATCCTAGGTACGTGCCCTTGAGCAGGAATCAAACCCATGACCCTTTGGTGTGTAGGCTGACACTCTAACCACTGAGCACCACCGGCCAGGGCTGTCTTACATTTTTAAATGCATGCATTTTTTGGGGGGGGTGTTTTTTTTGGTCTGTCTTCCTGCTTGATGTTTTAATGAGGTAGGTACTTGAACGTGGTCTGTTTCTACTGAGCCTGAAAGATGAATTACTCCTCATTGATGGGTTTATTTCTTAATTACACAAGTTTCATGCCCCTGAAAATACCCATTTTATATTTACAGGAAGAAGAAATGTTTCGTCCAAATATGTTTTTCCTTCTGTTGCTTCCACCTATTATATTTGAGTCGGGATATTCATTACACAAGGTAAGACCCAGGCACACATTAGGGGTTTTGGTCCAGGTGGCTTCTCGAGTTTGTAAGGCAAGGTCCTTAAAAGCCTGGATGTTAATTTCGCAGTATTGTCTCCACGCGCACATCCTGGGTGTGCATGGTAGAAGCTGGACGGGACTGCCTCACTTGTGGACAGGAGCAGACATGGTCAGTGGGCTGCTTTCATAGTTTCAGGCAGTGTGCTCGTTAAACTAGTATTTTCCACAGAGGGGTGCTTTGCCTAGGAAGGTGGTAAGAGTGATTTCAAATGGTAGATGGATGACACATTGACTCTTCTTGTTGGACACAGACTGACACGTGTGAATAGGATAGACTGTGTACTGGGAGAACAGGGACATGGGCCCTGGGCCTTTTGTTTCTCTCAGCTCATCACGTGGGGCCTTTCTACTTCCTTCGCTCATTCATCCTTCAGTGTCTCCCCTCTCAGTACCTGCCCTGGGCCTCAGCTCCCAGCTGGTATCCCCTTCTCCCCACTTTTCCATCTTTTCCCTTCTTCTGCCTGGCCCGGCTGCTCTGCACAGGCTGGAGCCCCCTCCTTCTACCTAGTCCTTCAGCTCCCACCCTTGGCTACCCGGCTCCACCCTGAAGAGCGGCGTCACTGGCCCCTGCACATTGCATTTGCCTTGTCATTTCTGGTCTCTCGTCCTCCAGCTTCCCTTTGGGCTCTTTCTGCCTGGGTGGGAGCATCTCACTTTTGAGCCAGTTTTGTGTGTATGCATGGGTGGGTTTTTTTCTTTGCCTATTCTTTAAATATAAAGGTATTTAGGTTTTAAAATAGATTATTCAACTTAAAATGTTAGTAATACAAAAGTTATTTTGTGAGTATGATAAAAAGTTATGAAGGTTGAAAGCACTAAGGTTTATCCTACCCTTGGAGAGAGGCAAGAGCCTGGACTTTGGAGCCTGAGACCTAGATCTAATCATGTGCTGCCCCCTATGGATTCTTTTTGGGTATAGTAGAAATTAAAAACAAAAAACAAAAATCCCAGAGAACCCTACCTCTCAGGTTGCTTTGAAAGTTACACTAGATGAAAAAATGTATTCAAAGCGCCAACCACCTCATTAAATCAACGGTAGTGCTTCTTGTTATTAAGAAGAGTATCTGTTGTTACTAATATCAATGTTCCCAGTAGTGTTATGAACACTAATATAATAAACTTGAGAGTTAAATTTGTCAGGAGAGTTTTGGTTAAAACACAAATTAATCTTTAATTTTTCACCTGGGTACTAAAGCAAAAATATTCTAAGATGTTCAGTTCAGATTTTTTTAAATTGTTATTTTATTTTATATCTATCTATATAAAATGTGAAAAGGGATTTTAATGTAAAAAAAAAATCCAAGTCTTATAAACCATTACTGACATCTGGTAATTCTTAAAAAGAAAACAAGCAAGAAAGAATTGAAGGTCAATGTCTTTTACTCTCTCATTTTATAAATCTTTAAAAGAACTATCAGTAGATTATGAAAATATTTCAAAATGTTGAGGAAGCGGATTTGATTTTAACTTAAAAACACAACACCTAGATTACTATATTAGAGCATTGAAAGTTTTATTTTCTAATTTTTTTGGAGGGAGGGGAAATAAACTTGCTCAAAATTTGAGGAAAATAATAGTTTCTTTAAAAATCATTTCTTGTCCTGGCTGGTTTGGCTCAGCAGTTAGAGCATCAGCCCACGGACCAGAGAGACCCAGGTTCGGTTCCTGCTGAGGACACGTACCTTGGTTACAGTTTGTCCCCAGCCCCGGTTGGGGTTGTGTGGGTGGCAACCAGTCAATGTGTCTCTCTCACATTGATGTTTCTCTCTCCTGCTCTATCTGAAGATAAATGCAAAAATGTCCTTGGGTGAGGATAAAAAATAAAATAAAAATAATTTCTTAACTTGGGGTGGTGAACACATATAATACAGATATATTATAGAATTGTATAACTGGAGCCCGTGTAATTTTATTAACCAGTGTCACCCCAATAAATTCAGTGAAAAACAAAAAAATATTTCTTTGAAGATGGCTTTCCAGCAGAAATAGTGATCATGTATGTGAAAGGGACCAATGTGATATGGAAATATGAATTAAGAAACTGTGTCCACTTCTTATCCTTCCCCAAAGAAGACAGGAAGTCAACGCTGAATGTTTTATTTTAATATTGCTGTATTTGCTGATGTAAATTTGGACTTGGAATAAAAAATTCAGTAAGACTATTCTAAGTTGATATATACTAGGGAGGCAGGTACTGGCTCTTTAAATTATTAATATCATACAAAGAATAGGACAATTATGTCAGAAACAGATAAATTCACTTTGTATAGCAAAGAGAAGTTCTTATAGTATGGTAACTTGTATTTGGGTAAAATTTCAATATCCAGATTGATATTAACCAACTATATATATTTTCTCAGAATTAGCTCCCTACAAACAGATCAAAACTTAGTTTAATCTATTTTTATTAAAAAAATTTTTTCTTTGATTTTAGAGAGAGGAAGGGGGAGAGAGAGAGAGAGAGAGAAACATTGATGAGAGAGAACATCAATTGGCCACCTCCTGCATGGCCCCCACTGGGGATTGGGCCCACAACCTGGGCATGTGCCCTGCCTGGGAACTAAACTGGCAACCTCTCTTGGTGCCTGGGTTGACGCTCAACCACTGACCCACACCAGCTGGGCAGTTTAATCTATTTTTAAAATAACAAAATAAAGCAGCTTTTTTGCAAAGAGAAGCTCATAGATGAAAGCCTTTTGTTTAGGAAAAAAACAAATCATCGTGTTTGCCTTGAGTTTTTTTAAAGTTCTTTGTGTGCTAAGGATTGTTATGCCAAGCAAAGTAATTGAATGTCAGATTATGGCGAGCCAGATCAAAATCGCAATGAATGTAGCAGAGAAACCTCCTTAAGGAGGTAGGATTAGTGGGCTGTCAGGGTTGAGCTGAGCACACCCATTTGAAGTGAGCTTTAAAATGTTAGTCCCTGTTGTCTATGGCTTGACAGTTCCTGATCAAAAAGATGGGATCCCTGGTCCACAGTCACAGTCAAGGTGTCATCAAGGTTCCCTGGTGTTGCTCCTAAGTGGATCCACAGGATTCTAACAAACTGCTACTTTTCTTAGTTTTATGGAAATTTGAAAGATGTTACCATGCTACTTGGACTCAAATATTTTCTCTTAAATGCCATATAGAGGGAAATATATTTTATCTATCATTTATATATGATGATGATGATACTAATAGAGTGAAATAAAAAATTGTTTAAAAGACCTAGACAGAAAAAATAAGTTTCTAATAGTATAACCTTCTATCTTGACAGTCTTTGTAGTAATGCACCTTTTCTTTTCTTTTATCTTTATTGTTTTATTTTGTTTTGTTTTATCCTCACCCAAGGACATTTTTCCATTTTTTGTTCAGAGAGGGAGGAAGAGAGAGGAAGAGAGAGAGAGAGAAACATCGACGTGAAAGGGACACATCGAGTGGCTGACACCCGCACGACCCCAATCGGAGCCGGGGACAAACTGCAAACTAGGCACATGCCCTTAGAGGGAACCAAACCCGGGACTCTCTGGACTGCAGGCCAACGCTCTAACCGCTGAGCCAAACCGGCCAGGGCTATCTTTATTATTGTATTACAGATGTTCCCTCCTTTTCCCCCATTGATCCCCTCCTCCCTGCTCCTACTACCTTTTCTTAATTAAATGAAAAATTATAATTGTATAAACTTTGAATTTAGGTCAGACATGAAACACAGTTAATTCCTTTGGTACCTATTCATTGGGCATCTTGCATCTAATAGGCATTATGTCAGTGGCGTTGTACAAAAGCAGATGTGGTCATTGCCCCTGTTGAGCCTGCAGCCCAGTGGGAAAGACAGATATCAGTCAAATAGTTAGATGAATAAATATAAATTTCAGCCATATCAAGTGCTGCCAAAAGAGAGTCATTGTGCATTAAGAGCATAGAACAGGATCTCACCTTGCTGAGAGATCAGAGAAGGCTTCCCTCAGGAACAGTGAAAATGTCCTGAGACCTTAGGATGATAAAAGCTCATCAAGCAATGAGGAAGGAAGTGTGGTCCAAACCCAGGGAGCACGGAAAGCCACCATTATGACTGGCCCCCAGAAAACAAAGAGGGAGGTTAGAAGTCTTCACAGGGATCGAATCATCCAGGCTTTGGTTGAATTTTAGCTGCATTTTGAGTGGAAGTGGGGGATCAGAGTGAAGGTAGCACAATCAGATTTGTCTTTTGCAAAGATCATTCTGGAAGCCTTTGGAGAGAGGAGGGCAAGGAGCCAGGACTGGTTGAGACTTGTTAGAAGCTATTGCAGTGGCCCTGGGAGAGGCGATGATGGCTTGGGCAAGGCGGTGGAGACATGACGATGGAGAGAAGCAGGGAGATGTGAGTGACATGGGGAAGGTAACGCCACTGCCTAGGCTCTGCAACAGATGTGGGCGTGAGGGAAGACTCCCAGGGTCCCAGCTTGCCAGACAGGGTGGGCGATGGTGCCTCTCACAGAGAATCAAGCACGTGTGGGGGCAGTGCCGTCACTGACTGGACCAGCTGTTCTAATCATTTCTCTCATTTCTGCTCTTTCAAACAGGGTAACTTCTTTCAAAATATTGGTTCCATCACCTTGTTCTCTGTTTTTGGTACAGCAATTTCCGCTTTTGTAGTAGGTGGAGGAATTTATTTTCTGGGTCAGGTAAGAAAAACATCTTTGAAAACCTTTGAGAATCTTACATTCTTAGAGCTGGTGCAGGGAGGTGGGGTAGGGACACCTCATGGGGCCTGGGTTCCACATTCGAGGTGAATGCTCCTCTGGAATGACCTCCAGACTCATGTGAGGCACAGTCAGTCATGTTAAAATTGTTTCTCAGATTCCTCGAAGAGCTCTGATGTCTGGAATTGAGTGAATCTTCTCCATAATCATCAGAAGTATTTGTTTGCTCTTACTTGCAAAGCAACATTGTCTTAAGTTGGAATACCTGAAGATAAAGAAGATTAGATACCATCAAGATCTTCAGATTATAACAATATCAGTTTTGTTGTTAGGTATACTAAATAGGGCAAATGCTCTTTTTTTGTTTATTAATCCTCCTGAGGACACCTTTGCACGGATTTTTTAGATAGAGTAGGAGGGAGGGAGAGAGAGAGAAAAACAAACAAACTTCAATATGAGAGAGACACATCAGTTGGCCACCTCCTGCATGGCCCCAATCAGGGCTGTGGATTGAACCTGCAACCCACGGGCCAACACTCCAACTGCTGAGCTAGACTGGCCAGGGCTAAATGCTCTTTTTTTTTTTCAATTGATTTTTTAGAGAGAGAGAGATAGAAACATCAATGTGAGAAGGAAACATCGATCGGCTGCCTCCAGCACACCCCTTATTAGGGATCCACCCAGCAACCGGGGCATGTGCCCTGACTGGCGATCAAACCAGGACCTCTCAGTCCATGGGACAACGCTCAATCCACTGAGCCACACCGGCCAGGCTAAATGCTCTCTTTTTAATTAAAATTTATGTTTTAAAAATCAAAGATGATTTTGAATGTGTTCACTCAATTCCAACTTGTCCGTCTGTAGACTTATATACTCTGGATTTTTCACAGTTACTAAACCAGTTCCCAGTGTCATCAATTGGCTGTTCTGTACTTGGGGTACAAATTACTCGAATTCACTTAAATCAGACCCACCTAGGAAGGTAGTGTCTCTGGTTTGCATTATGCACACCCATACCTGTCAGTTCTTTACCTTTATGGTCAGTAACGGAAGTTTGCCTGCCCCAGTTCTGTAAAGTAAGATGGAGGTTCAGGCAGCTGGGTGGTGTGCAGATTTCTCTTATGTGTGTTAGATGTGCTTGCTTCTTTTGATGGCTGGAGGCTAAAAACCATCCATCTGATTTCACCTTCACTGCTGCCTCAGTGGCACCAGAATAAATCTGTCTGTCCTGCAGCCTTCTTCAGTGCCCATCTTCCAGTACCAAATGGGAATACACTTCAAAGAAGAAAACTGAAGTTAATTTAGCTTGAAAAATGTAGCATGCTTTTTCATACTTCTGTTGTATGATGATCGGATGCATATTTAAATGAAAGCTTGGGAGTTTTTAAAAATTTTCAAGTGGTTTGAGGACTAACGATGAGTGTCCTTATCCCTTTGTGATAAAGCACTAATGGACATTTTAATCTTCTTGGCTGTTCTCCAGGGGATTTTTTTGTGTCTGTGTGTTTGTGTCTTTTATTTTACAGGCTGATGTAATCTCTAAACTCAACATGACAGACAGGTAAATCTTTCATACTCTAATACCCATGTGAGACTACTTTTGAGATGGGGGAAAAGCTTCTCCACATTAATTCCTGGGTGTAATACCTCTCTGTTCTTTTTCTCTTTTTGTTTTGCTGATTATTTCTCTGTAGAATCTGTTCTGAATTAATTTGGGTCTCTGAAATGAATAAAAACTAATCAAGGAAATTTTGAAGATCTCTAATCAGAGCATTGATAATTGAAATTATTAATTTAGTTTAAGCTTTGGAGAGAATAACTCATGACCTTATTGCCCCCCCGCCCCCCCCCACACACCACGTGCTACACCATTGATTTATTATGAAGAATCCTCTTCAACTGATTTATAAATCTTTTCAATGGCCACAATGAAAAGTTGTCTTCTTGATGGGTTAGGGATAGGAGTTAGGGGAAGTGAGATGTAAATCTTCACTCTGGGATTTCCACCAGTTGGGGGGGGGGGGGTGAGGGGAGGGAAGCAGACAGATGGGCTCTATTGCGCATGTCCTCCTCAGTCTGAAGCTACACCAGTAAGCTCTCAGAGCTGCTTTGCCTAGGAGCCCAGTCCAGGAATTCCCATATTGTCTTTGCAAGAAGCCACCTAGGCAGCTGTCTCTGAGAAGGTACCAGATCTAGTGCTGAAAAAGTGCACATGCAGAGTTCAGCCTGGTTTCCCCGCTCTGAGAAGTCCAGCGAGGATGCAGCCCTGCTCTGTGTTTCTGCGTCTCCTAAGTTCTGTCCTGCGGGGGCTGGTGTGGCTGCCACGCTAGGAAGCAGGGTGAGCGCTCAGCCCCGGGACACTCCCATCAGCCAGCCACCGCTTTCAGCTTATAGCAGCGCCCTGGGGACTAGAACCTGGAGCCCTTTTCCTGGGAAATGTGCCTCTGATAACATTAAGTCCAGTCTCATTTTTCTCCCAGGGACGTACATTTCAGAGCTTTGATTGTAAGATAGTTTTGATATATAAACAAGTAGCAAAAGTCACATTTTTATTCCATAAGGAGTTGGAAATAAAACAGAACTTGTCACAGACAATAGTTGGGGGAAAGCAGGAGGGGGGTGGGAGTGGGGAGGAGGGGGGAATGGGGGGACATCTGTAATACTTTCAACAATGAAGATTTAAAAACAAACAAACAAAACAACACAGAACTGGTACCTTGCATGGTGTAGGTATTTTGCCAGTAAAAAGAAATGTTCCAAGCCCAGTTCAAGCAAAGTAAGAGGTCACAGCGTTCAAGCCTTTAACCTGTTTGCGGGCAACTGTTAGAGATACAGAAAATGCTTGGCAAATTCTTGTAAAATTGAATTGGGCTTTTGGTTGGGATGTTCAGAGGAGATGAGTAAGAGAATTAATTGATCCTTAGACAAGCAGATTAACAGCCAGGTAGTTTCTTCCTCCATGGGCTGACACTTCGTTTCCTGTGGAAAATGGCCAGCATTTGCTTCTTTTTTTTTTTTATTCTTCACCTGAGGATATTTTTTTACTTATTATCAGATAGAGTGAGAGGGAGAGAGAGAGACAGAGAGAAACATCAATGCGACAGAGCCATATGAACTGGTTGCCTCCCGCACGACCTGACCAGGGCCGGGAACGAACTGCAACTGAGGTACGTGCCCTTGACCACAACCGAACCCGAGACTCATCGGTCCATGGGCCGACGCTCTAACCACTGAGCCAAACTGGTCAGGACAGCCAGCATTTGTAAACCTACACTGCTGCAGGGCCTGGCAGAACATGTCACAGGGGAAGCTGGCCAGGTGGCGACAGTGAACTGGAGAGCACGCCCTGTCTGAAGGAGACAGCCATGTCTCAGCTCCACCTAGTAATATTTAAGATTAAAAATACGTATCTAGTAATTCTGTGGGCCCAGAATTACTAGATAGTTTTTTAAATTTTTCAAAAGAGGCCAAGTTTTTAGATATTAATAGGGAATTTTCTGGTTTTCCATGTTGACAGTTTATTCAGTTTTTCAAAACACCATGTAGGTCAAACATGGGACCCACAGACCTCTGCACTAGAGAAAACATTTTTTTTTTTTTTTAATGAAAACTTTGTTGCATTTTATTTTAGTGATATTTCTGCTGGAGAGAGATTTTACTCATCGATACACCCTGAATTATTTCACCATCCTAGACTGTTTCCTTTTTGTTTTCTTGATGTCGCTATCCTTTGAGACGATGGAATCAAGAAAACACACTTTTAAATTAAACTTCCAGCTTCTGGCGTTTTTTAAAAAGTGGGTCATGAAGGGATGAAATGGAGCAACTGATGGCAAGGTCAAATGACCCCCCAAACTCAGGCCTCTTGATGACTCAGGCAGTTCATAGGTCAGACTTTTCATTGTCCTGTCAGATGCTCGGCCCCAATTTAGATTCCCAGCCAAAGGCAAATGTGTTACATAATTTATGAAAAGCGTTTTCCCCCAACCCTGTGTTATGAAAATCTCAAACTTGCAGCAAAGGTGGACATTGTACAATGGACACCCACGTGACCCTGAGTCTATCTTTTCCATTTCAGTGTATCTGCTTTAACACAGACCTTTCCATCTCTCCATCCTTCTATCCATTCATCAGTCCCCCTTCTGGTTGCTGCTCTCTGATTTCCCGTTCAGGACGCCACAGTGACTGTGACAAAGAACATCAGGCAGGCCTCTTCCAGTGCAACTGAAGCCCAGCGCTAAGTAGCTTTAGCAAAAAAAAAGGAAGTTTGTTGGTTCATAGAACTGAAGTGTCCCCCAGAGTAATGGCTTCTGGCATGACAGTTTCAGGGGCCCACGATGTCAGGAATCTCTCTTTTGCTGTCTCAGTTCAGCTCTTCCCTGACTGACTTCATCCTTGGGCACATTTGCCCCGTGTGGCAGCACTGGTGGCCCTGGGCTCACCGCACCCTTTAGCCATCCCTGCCAAAAGAGCCGTCCTAATTCCCCTGACTTGGTACATGCCTGGTGATGGCCCTCGTTCAACAAACGTGGATCCCTTGCTCACTCCTGGAGTCCCATGCAACTGCATGGATGGAGAGAAAGTAGGGGAGGTAGCCCCCCAAAGGAAAACTGGGTGCTATTACCAAAACCAGGGTCCATGGGTGTTCAGCAGGGAGAACCACGTCTGTCTGGTCTGCTGCACGGCCCTAGGGATGGAGGGAGGGGCCAGTTGAGCCGAACAAAGTCACACAGCCCACCAGATGATCCCAGAGCCGTCCCCCATGCCTCCACCTCACCCACCACTTCAGAATACACTTTCTAGATCTTCTTTCTTAGAGGCCCTTGCGATGTTGCCATGGGTGATGAGAGGGAACAAAAGAAGAGAAACCAGAAGGTCTATGTTTGGGTTGCAGCACAAGGGCCTCAAGGCCAGCTACCAACCAAACAGGGCCTCCCAGGTTGGCAGTCCCTTATTACCTACCCTCTCTCCCTGCCTCCATCCCTTCTGCCTGCCTGCCTTCCGCAGATCTCATTGGGCTATGCTTAGTACCAGTCCTGGGAATACACCTGTGACTAAAACACAGTGCCCGTGCACCTGGCACTCATGGTGCAGGTGAGAGGCAGGTAGAGTCACAGCTCATAATATGTATGACAACTTTTGTGAGGACAGAGAAAGTCTGGGAACTGGGGTCTGAGCTGAGACCATCTTTTGGGTCTGGTCCTCAGCTTGGGATCCAGAGACTCCTTGAGGTAAGCAGGCTCTCCTGCGTGAATTCACATGAATCAAACTCCCAGGGAGCTACCCAGGAGACCAGAATGCTAGGTTATTGATTTGCAAAGAGAACTGTAACAGGCAGGGCAGCTGAGCATCTCCTCCCATCAGCACCCCTCTCCCTGCACCAGGAGTCCAGTGACCATCCAGGGCTGCTGCTGGTGGCAGCGTGGACAGGGCACACTCCATCCCCAGGCCAAGTGGCTCCCTCTTCCCTCGCAGACTGCAAGCTGGCGAGGGTGGGAAGCAGAGGTGGACAGTCTCTGGCTTCCATCTCTCGTGCAGGACTGTCCCACTGGGGCTCTGTGTTTGGCCTTGTGTTGTAGAAGGGGCCGGCCGGCCATCCTGCTGGCGTGGAAAGAAGGCAGTGCCAGCCGTAGCAGTTTGAGGGGCCAGGAAGCTTGCAGGAACACTGAGGTAGAAGAAAGACAAAGGGCTGAGAACGGATCCCCCAGACCCCTCAGGTGGCCCATGGGGTGATCTGGCGCTGCATCCCTCGCCACCCTCTACCATCTCCTGCCACTCGCCTCACCGTGCAGCTGCCACACTCGCCTGTTTATTTCTCAGGCAGCCGAGCCGACTCCCACCTCAGATCTTGCCCTCTCATTGCCCCGGTTTCCTGTGTAAAACGTGCCATTTTCTGAATTGGTCTCAGTCTCTGGGTATCGCTATATCTAGTGGTGTGGTTCGGGGCAGCAACTCTGAGCCAGTAGATCTGGGTTTGAATCCTCACTCTGCCATTTGTTAGCTGTCCATCCTTGGGCAAGTTCCTTAACAGCATTGTCTCTGTTTCTCCTGTGTAATCGGGGCAGTAATAGTACCAGCTCATACAGTGGATCCTTGAGTTACTATATGTAAAGTGTTTAAGTGCCTGGAACATGGTGTCACATAAATGTTTGCTTTACTATTAGCGTCAGTGCTTGAAACACATTAGGCCATTAATGCATATTTGTTGGAGGTAATGGGCACTGTCGATGAGAGCAGCTGGCCTGGTGGGAGGTGGCACGGGGTGGGGTTGGTGCCTGTCAGCCAAGCCGCCTGTCCTCTGAAGCTGGGGTTGCTGCTGGCATTCGTTTAGATGTCACAGATATAACTGGAGGCTGGGGTCGGTCACAGGTGGTGGCAAGGGCAAAGCAGAGGTCAGGCCCAGGAGCCCATGGGTCATTTCGGGGAGGCCCTGGAGCCATCATGGTTCCAACTGCTCTGACCAAAAAAGCTGGGGAGTCTAATGCATTTAAGCAAAAGTTTTCCATCCATCACTGGTCAAAATCTTGATACTTACAGGGAGAAACGAGGCCATTCCTAACAACTCTTAGAGTGGGCACTTCACTGCTCCCTCACAGTCACTCCGCAGATACCTATTGTAAGAGGGAGGAAAGACGCCAACTTTGCCATTACTTCAACTGCAGCGTGTGTACTGTTACACCACATGCAGTCCCCGGCTCTAATGCTTTAACAGTGGACCAAGTGATGAACGTTACAGAATATCCCCTTCCTGTTCCCTTCTTTACAGTTTTGCATTTGGCTCCCTAATTTCTGCTGTTGATCCAGTGGCTACTATTGCTATTTTCAATGCACTTCACGTGGACCCAGTGCTCAACATGCTGGTTTTTGGAGAGAGTATTCTCAACGACGCGGTCTCCATTGTCTTGACCAAGTAAGTGTGCTCTCTTCAAGGGACAGAACTGAAGGTCTTTGTAACAAAGGGACGGGTGTTTCCATACAGCTCTGTATGCAATTGCTTGTCCTCTGGGTGATCAGTTCACCTGTTTCATCTTTCTGTCCTGACATGCCCGAGGGATGCTGTCAAGGTCCAGATTGATCCGCCTTTTATGACCTACCTTTTAGCAGTAGTTTTGAGTGCAGCTTCTCGTCTGCATTCCTGGGGTGCTTATTAAATGTAGTGTTCCCAGGCCCCACCCTCCGCTTCTAAGGCAGTGACTGGTCTGGGGTGAGTCCTAAGAACTTAGGTCTTTAATCATTTCCCCAGATGGTGATGGGGCAGCCCATTGAGGGATTAGAGTTTGGACTGCATTGTTGTAGACAACAATAGACAGAGGTTTTACTCTCTCACTTAGGAGCTGTTGCAGGTCATCTTTCATTTCACAGCTATAAAAGAAAGTAGTGATACTAATAGGCATCCCTCCTTAAGATGCTGTTGGGTGAGTCACTTTGGAAACCGCAAATCTTATTTATATGTCCATTGGTATTACTGCCCTTGTTGATAGGATTTGAGAAATTAAAGGTGATTCATAAAATGTCACTGGGAAAAGGAAATGAATTCAAGATTATTTCAAATGTGTTTATCTGATGCAGGGCTGTTTCCTTGAACGCTACATTTTGTGGTGGTCATTAGCGTGTGTGGGCAGGAGACCCAAACAGTTCTGCAAAAAAACAGAAAAGGCACCAATAGTCAACGCAGTTGGAGGAAAGAGCCCTTGTACAGTGTATCAGAGATGAGCCATGAGAATTTTAGGAGCCAATCAGTGTTCTGTTAGAGAACAGAATTTTCATGATCTGAATTCTGACTTGTTTCCTTTGTCGCAAGGTTCCTTGCTAAGTATAACATACTGTGGTAGTTAGCATTTTATTAAAAGCTTTATCATAGACCACATTTGAAATTCTTACATTGGACTAAAAGGATGTTTTGTAGTGGAAAGAGCCCAGATTTTGGAGTCAGGCTGACCTGGGTTCAAGGCCTAGTGAAGCCACTCAAAGCTGTGTGATCCTGGTCAGCTCTTCCACCTCCCTGAGCCGCAGGTTTCTCAGTAGTCTAGTGAGGGTGATAATGCCTCTGCCGAGGGTGGATTTAAGTATGGAATGGTTTAGTATGGTGCTATGTGAAAAGCGTCTGACATCAATTAACGTGAGACCCTTTCCTCTTCTACTCCTGCCCCCGTTACTGTTTCACTGTTTACCCCATTTTTATCCTACTTTTGTAGGGAAAAACTTACCAAAAGTTGCTTAATTGCAAGAGGTTCTCAGCAGACCTAAACAATACAAACTTTAAAATATTTTTGTCTTTCTAAAACTGGTACATTATAGCCCAGCCAATGTGGCTCAATGGTTGAGCGTTGACCCACATACTGAGAGGTCGCTGGTTCATTTCCTGGTCAGGGCACATGCCCAGGTTGTGGGCCAAATCCCCAGTGGGGGGCTTGCAGGAGGCGGCCCGTTGATGTTCTCTCTCATTGATGTTTCTATCTTTCCCTCTCCCTTCCTCTCCCTCTAAAATCAAAAAAGAAAAAGAAAAATTTTAAGTAGTACATATATTCTTCTTATGAAATTTAGAATACACACAAGCAAAAAAGAAATATTACCTGCATTATTACCCAGAGATAATTACAGTTAACAATTTGGTAGAAGTATACATATATTTTATTTAGATGGGCTTATATTCCATATACTGTACTGTAGCTTTTCCATTAAACAGAGTTGATAAAATAATCTTCTGTAATAGCATATACTGGTTACAGAGTATTCCTTTCTATGGATTTGCTACGACCTATTTAACCTATTCCCTGTTATTGGCTTTTTAAGATTTTTCTTGGTAACAATTTCTATAGCTTCATTAGGAAATTTTCATACATCATGCTATAAGACCTTTAAGAAACCCGATGGCAATATTTTTTTCTTATGTAAGATCTACCCTGAAAGCTTCTTAGCTTTCTGGTTTTGACTTTTATCTCATATTCTAGCTGCACATATTGAACATTTGTGATAAAGAATTTTGCCCAAATTGGAGGTGACATCATTGAGTTATTTTTATACATTAGGAGCTAAACTCAATGGCTTTGTTTCTAATTTATTTTGTTTTTAAAAATCTGTCAGAATTAGGATCTTTTCTGAGCTTTTTCATGTCTCTTTGCTACAAAAAGGCCGAAGATTAGGAGATATTTTATTTTTAAAATGAGAAATGATGGGATCATTCATTATAAGTAGCCAAAGGCTTCCTGGAAAAAGTGCTTTTGAAGTTGGAGATCACTTGTGATGATGGTCCCCCAAACTGGACCTGTGGACCACATGCACATATAGTTTGCAGCCCCCACCTCCAACACCCCTGGGACACAGAAGTCACTGACCTACCACACCATCCTCACTGACTCCAGACCTGCTACACATTAGTTGTCCACCATCAGCATTTGGTGAGGGCCCTCTGTGTTCCAGACACTGTTCGAGACCAGTTGGACTTGACAAACTCAATCCAAGGTGAAAGATGCTCACAGAGAAGTGAACACAGTGGTGCAGGGGGGAAACAGTCACTGGATTACAGAGAGGCCCTTGGGCAAGCTGTCTTGTGAGCTATTTGAGACAGAAGAGGGAGATAGGGGAGAAAGAGGCATGGTAGGCCTGCCCAGTTTCCGCATTACAGGTTGGAGCTGTTGTCCGCTTTCCTTGATTCTCACATAGAATCACGTCTTGTTTTTAAGGGTGTACGTCATAAGTGATCATTTTCAAAGTGATCTGACACATTTATCTTTGCAACTGAATATAGTAATGAATTGCCCCTTTTTTTAATGTTTTCACCTTCATCAGTGCCAGAATGCTGAGTATCTTCTGTTTCTTCTTTAACTTTAATTAAATTATTTTTGGCTTTGATTTGTTACTATGACAATACTTAAAATAATTGCTGTAGAGGAAACCTTTTGTTCTCTCCAGCTACAACTTAAGCTCATGAAATAGATCCTGAAACAGCATTGACTTATATTCTTGAGGTGTGAGAAACATGACCTGAAAAAATAAAATCCAGGCCAGAAACAGTCCAAATTCTACTTCTATTTATCTTGAGTTCAGAAACCATTGGCCTAAGCCTTCTCTGCGTAAAAAGAGAGCAGTGACACTAGTCAGTATACCAACCGAGGAAGCCATATGAGGTGGGTGCTAGACACTGTGTGCATGTGGTCCACAGGTCATTTGGGAACTGTGGGTGATCTTAGCCTTTGAAAGCACTGTCCCAGTAAGAACCCTTGTTGGATCCCAGCATCCCCCAAGATAGCATGTTAACCCGTGATCTACTAGGAAAGAAAGGGAGTGGGAGAGATTGTGCATTTAGGTGAATTTGGAAAACATTTGTGTGAAAAAATGTAGATTAAATTTTTTGCAGGACTTCTCAGAACCTTTATTATGTTACATTGTACAGTGAAGTGCCATGAAAGGCTTCTTGAGGTTACTTGATCAAGCTACTCTTTTATCAGAGATTATCTTGCTTTATAATTATACCAGTTCATGAAATTCTGAATAATGAAGCTGAATTCTTTATTGTCTATTGACAATTCTTCACTTTGTTTACTGATTCAGCAAAAATGGATTGAGTGTCTTTTGTGTGCTAGGCTCTGCCTTAGGTCCTGGACATATGGCAGTTAAACAGGATTGGTCCTCATGGAATGATTCGTTTCCACATGCTGTGGAGAAGGCAGCAGAAGAGCCTGTAAATGACTGGCTATGTGAAGGGGTCAGGGCAGGTGTCCCCGAGGAAGTAACACTGACCGTAGGTTCTGAGAAACAAACCGGGAAGTTAGCTGGGGCCAAGGAGGAGTGAAAGGTGACTTACAAGGAGGTGCCAGTGACCATGGGGCTGTCCCTGGATGAGGAGGAGATGGGATCAAGAGGTATGCCAGGGAGAGGAGTCAGACTGAAACGACACAGAGGGAGTGGGCCCGGAAATAGAAAATATCTGTGGCCAGGAGGCCAAGTTAAGACCAGGTGACCAGAAGGAATGCAAACATGTCACCACCCCTCCACTCTCTACTCAAAAACCTAGAGGTAGTTAATGTTTTCTCCCTTCTAACTGCCTGCTTTAACTACTGACCCGCATGCACAGTTGGTCGAGGTTTGACTGCTAGACTTGCTAGGGCGGTGGTAACCAGCAGGCCGCCATCTTGCCCCAGCAGCACACGCGTGACTGAAGTCACCATGCCCCGCAGCAGAAAAAGGAAGTCATCCCACCCTGAAATGGAGAATTTGCAGGCCTAATTTTTTCAAAAAGCCTGCCTTATTGTGTAAGCCCAGTTTGTTGCCAGCCTGTAAAAGCAGCCAAGCAGAGCCAGCCCCGGAGTTGGTTCAGAGGACCATCATTGCCTCTGTGCTGCTGTCCATGTGCTCGGGCACAACCCTAGTAAAATCTGTCTCAGATTTCTTTGGGGTTTCCTCTCAATTTCTGTCTCAGGGAACCCAAGAACCTCAACCCATTAACAAGGTTATGCTAAGAAGACTAGGCTTCCTCCTACGCAGCAGCAGGAAACTTGATGGGTTTTGAACAGGCCGATAACCTGATGAGGTGTGAATTGTATGAGGATCATTTAGGCCACTGAATGGAGAACGGGTTGGTCCTAGGAAGACAAGGAGGTATATAGAGAGCAATGAGGCATGAACCTGGGGCAGCAGACAGTAGGGCAGGGAGAGAAGTGAATGGATTTAAGAGACAGTCTGAAAGGGAGAAACAGACTGTTTAGGAGAAGGGCATTTAATGAGAGTAACTCCATTTTAATGGTATAACGGTTTTCCCTTGGGGGATAAAACCAACAATTGAATTTAATGGCTTCTGATAGTTTTACTTTGTTCTGTTACAATGAAAGGGAAGTTCTTTCCATTCTTCCTCCTAAACCCACACTCTCTGAACCCAATGGCAGTTTTTCTTTAGGTGGCTCCATTCTAATCTGACTTCATGCCACAGCCTCAGTCTCAGTTCTTACCACAGGGTCCCCCATACTGCAAACACTCCCCAGGGCCTTCAGGATGAAAAACCACCTCCTTAGCCTGGTTCCTCAAAAGCCTTCCCCAGGTTCTGCGCTGCCTGCTGCTCCGGCCTCACCTCTTGCCACTGTCCTCCCCACCGCACAGCCCCTTCTGTTCTGTGTCTTAGCCGTACTGACCTGTGCAGCAGCGCCCCAGAGTGCGCGGGTATTGTCGGGCTCTGCCTCTGCCCAGGGTGCTTCCCTCGGGGTTCTTTCTCCTCCCTAAACCCAGCCCGTGTGTCATGAAGAGTCTCCTTGAGGCGAGATGCCCAACTGTGTGTCTGTAGCCCCTTTGCTCTTACCCCAGATGGTCATTAGCTCCCATCTCATTAGACCGGGGGAGCTCCTCAAGGGCAGGGCCTTTGCGCTCATCTCTGAACCCCCAGAAACTGCCACAGCGCCTGGAACCAAGCAGGGGAACAAATGAACGCGTGACTCACTGAATGAATGATGGAACGAACGAATGAGAGAATAATCAAGAAATAAGTTTTGAGTTCTAAGTTAATTTCTAATAACTTTGTCTATAACATTTTAACTTCTTTCTGTTTTTCTTTTATTTCCTAGCACAGCTGAAGGTTTAACAAGAAAAAATATGTCAGATGTCAGTGGGTGGCAAACATTTTTACAAGCCCTTGGCTACTTCCTCAAAATGTTCTTTGGCTCAGCAGCACTTGGCACTCTCACTGGCTTAATCTCTGCATTGATATCCTTTTATACGATGCATATGCTTGGCTGAGAAGGGTATTCTTGATTATATCCACTGAGCAGTTCTGTCCGGTTCCTTGAGGGCACCAGTTCTAGTCTAAGGTTGTGTTTGATGGAGAATTTTTATCCTTAGTTTTGGTTTGAGAAGCCCTTTAATTTAAACTCAAGGATTTTTAAATTTAACATGAAAATTTTAGGGTGTCGTTTTTTTAAAGCTTAAAAAACATGTCCGGCTGGGGTGGCTCAGTGGTTGAGCATCAACCCATGCACCAAGGGGTCACCAGTTCAATTCCCAGTCAGGACACATGCCCAGGTTGTAGCTCCAGTAGGGGGCATGCAGGAGGCGGCCAATCGAAGTTCTCTCTCATCGATGTTTCTTTCTCTCTCTCCCTCTCCCTTCTTCTCTCTTAAATATCAATAAAGGGAAATTTTTTTTTAAAAAACGTACACTATTGGATATCAGATCTGATTTGGGAGGCTTCTTAGTTCCTAGAGTATGGTAACTGCATTCAGATGATTTTCATTTTCTGCTGTCTCACTTTTTTTTTCTATCTTCACCCGAAGACATTTCTCCATTTTTTTATTCAGATAGAGTGGGAGGGAGAGAGAGGAAGAGAGAGAGAGAGAGAGAAACATTGACGTGAAAGGGACACATCGAGTGGCTGCCACCTGCACAACCAACCAGGTTCAGGGACAAACAGCAACCGAGGTACATGCCCTTAGCGGGAACCGAACCCGGGTCTCTCTGGACCGCAGGCCGATGCTCTAACCACTGAGCAAAACCAGCGAGGGCCTGTCTCACTTTTCACATTCAAAAAATTAGAAATTAATTTCCTTTGAAAACATCAAATTGAGAAAATCTGGAAGTGTTTATCCCGAAGGACCAGAAAAGAGACTTTCAAAGTAAGCTCATCTGTTTGCACTGATTTTCTTGCTGAACAACCCGTAAGCTTTTCCAGCCAGAAAAGGAGCGAGGCTTGTGAAGGCCGATGACACCGTCCTTTGTTGCTGTAGAAAATTCATCGTGTTCATAATAGGAATAGACACCAGCCCATTTCTGTGCGAACCTAAGCCTACATTTTGGGGAGCTGGCCACCTGGCCCCCCTCCATGAGCAGTTTGTCGCACAGGTGGCTGGAAAAGCCTCTTTTCCCTGTGACCGGCATGTCTGCCGTCCTTTCGAGTTTTCCCTTCGACTCCTTTGTTCAGAAGTCTAAAGGCTCTATTGAGTTGATTGACAGCTCTCATATTGTACCAATAAACAGAATGGAAAAGAAAACTTTTTCCAGCTCAATACTTTCTTTCATATTTACTTTTTTTCTCAAAAGGGGCAGGGGGAGCATCTACTGTAATGAAGCCGGTGAATGGGACTGTGAGCTCCAGCATGGGCATGTGGACAGCACTGGAGTATGTGGGAGACTCCTTTTTCAGAAGCACGAGTTTGAAAATCTCCAGAAGTAGGAAAGACAGCCCTTCGATGGGGCATTGAACCCAGGGTCTAGAAACCCCATTAGTCATCTCATCTGATGGAGGAGGAGGGAGGTGAAAGGGTGACAAGGCCCTGGAAGGGACCTGGCAGTGTGGGCTATCCTCGGCCCATCTGCAGCCCAGCTTTGCCCCCACTGCCTTGGCACATTATCTGCCTTCCAAGTCAGCATTTTTCTAAAGAATTTTTTGGGGGGCGTTAATCCTCACCTGAAGATATTTTTCCATTGATTTTAGATATAGAGTGGAAGAGGAGGGAGGGAGGGGGGGGAGAGAGAGAGAGAGAGAGAGAGAGAGAGAGAGAGAGAGAGAGAGAGAAAATGTGTGTGAAATGTCAATGTGAGAGACACATCGATTGGTTGCCTCCCACATGACCCCAACCTGGGCTGGCAGTCGAACCTGCAACATAGGTATGTGCCACTGACCGGGAATCAAACCTGTGACCTTTTGCTCCATAAGCCAATGCGTTAACTGAGCCAAACTGGCCAGGGCTTAAAAGATTTTTTTAATTGACTTTTAGAGAGGAAGGGGGAGAGAGAGAGAGAGAGAGAACATCGACTGGCTGCCTCCTGTACGCCCCCTAATGGGAATTGGGCCCAGAATCCAGGCATGTACCCTGACTGGGAATTGAAACCTTTTGATGCATGGAATGAAACCCAACCAAATGAGTCACACTGGCCAGGGCTCAAGTCAATCTTTTTAAATGAGCTAACTTAGGTTGATTTTAATGTTCCCTCCACCATTTGCCTCAGGCATTTATATTTCTTAGTGTGTCAGCTTCCCTTTCTCAAAACAACAGTCTCCCTGCAAAGGAAAAAAAAAGTCCATGATGACAGGTTTTCAACTAACATTAGAGTGTTCCATAATCTTTTGTATCTGTTGTTTAACTTATATCTGGAAGGCAGCAGTTTTGTGACTTTACTAGATCTTCCTTCAACTGTCCCTTGATTCTTTTCCCTTGACAACTGTCATTTACGTGCTAAAGCATATTGACTTGAGGAAAACCCCTTCCTTGGAGTTCGGCATGATGATCATTTTTGCATATCTTCCCTACGGGCTCGCGGAAGGAATCTCCCTCTCGGGTAAGTGAACGAGAGCACTGAGGTGCTAGGTGATGGCATGCTGTCCTGCTCGGTGAGAGAAGCTGTGTCATCTGGGCCACTTTCAATCGCAAGAGGCAGTCACAACTCAGAACTTGCAACAAAGGGAATCCGCTGGCTCCTACATCTGGATTTACCCCTGGCTGGATCCAGGGCCTCTGTGTTGTCACACACTTTCTCTTTACCAACCATCCTGTAGCAGATCAGAATATCACTTCCAGTTTTGCCTCTTTCCCAGAACAAGAGCTCTGAAGAGTCTTTCCCCTGGAACCCACTGAGCTGCATTCTATCACTTTAGTTTTCTTTTACCAGAATGTCATATAAGTGAAGTCATATATTATGCAGTCTTTTGTGTCTTACTTCTTTTCAGTTATAACACTCCTGAGCAACATCATGTTTTTGCATGTATCACATTCATGATTGCCTCTACATTCTTGAGCACATAGAACATATTTATAACAGCTGTTTTAATGTCCTTGTTGGTTAATTCCAGAGATCTGTCAATTCTAGGTCTGTTTCTGTTGATTGATTTTCTTCTGTTTGTAAGTGATAAATTGCTACGCCTTGCTTGCCTATTAATTTTCTATTGGAGGCCAGTCATTGTGAACTTCATTATGTTGTTGATTATTCGATTTTAGTATATTCTTCATAGAGTATTGGATTTTATTCTGCCATATATCTAAGTTTCCTGGAATCAATTTAATCCTTTTGAGGTTTACTTTTAAACTTTATCAGGACAGGTCCAGAGTAGCACCAGGAACTACTGCACTGTCCTTCTGAGGACTCCAGCTCATGTCCTGTGTAATATGAGGTCACTCCATTCTGGCCCTTGGGAACGCAAACTATTCCTAGCCTTGGGTGTGCTTGGGGAATTGCTTGACCTATTCCTTTTTAGTGATTCTCTCCCAGCCTCTGGGAATCTTACCTCATGCATGTACAGATCAGTATCAGTCCAAGATTCAAGGGGACTCCATTGTAGCTCTCTCTCTTTTTTTTTCATCCTCACCCGAGGACATTTTTTCATTTTTTGTTCAGATAGAGTGGGAGGGGGAGAGACAGAGAGAGAGAGAAACATCGACGTGAAAGGGACACATCGAGTGGCTGCCACCCGCACGACCCAACCAGGGCTGGGGACAAACTGCAACCGAGGTACGTGCCTTTAACGGGAACCGAACCCGGGTCTCTCTGGACCGCAGGCCCACGCTCTAACCCCGCTGAGCTAAACCAGCCAGGGCAGGAGCTTTTTTTGTAGCTTCTCCTCTCTGGTATTCGAGCTGCTTTGGCCTCCCCCAACTCTCATTTGTCTTCTCTTCTCAGCAAGACTGAGAACGCTGGGCTGGGCTTGGGGTTCCACTGCCTGGTCCTCAGCCTGGAGTCTGCATCCAGGCAGGAAGCTGGACCGGGGCGTGGAGTAGCAGTGGCCACCTTGTTTGTTCCCTTCTATCAGGAAGGGATAGAAGGGATAGTCCTGCCCTGCCCTGCACCACTGTCAGAAGACAGTTCTGTTCTATATCTTTCATCAAGTTTTTTAGTTGTTTATGGCAGGTACAATAATTTATATTACGATTATTTCCTCATGGGCAAAGTGGAAGTCCCCAGTGATTTTTAATGACCCCGTTAAACAGATTCTTTCCACAGATCACTTTCTGGAATCACACATGGACACTCTGAGCAGATCTTGCCAAGGAGGAAGCAGAGAGGTCTCTGGCCATTTTCACTGAAAAACTCATTGTAAACATCAGAAACATCAGGGTTTTGGGTTTTTTTTTTAAATCCCAAGCCAGTTCTCTTGGATAATTTCATCCTGGCATCTGCCCTCCAGTGTCCCCTCTTTTGTGTGTGTGTGTGTGGTACGTGCTCCTAGTGGGAACCAAACCCGAGACTCTCTGGTCCGCAGGCCGATGCTCAACCGCTGAGCCAACCTGGCCAGGGCGTCCCCTCTTATCTTTCCCGAATTTGGGCACTTAGATAAATATTACCTGTGAGTCATTTGGCTCCAGCCAAGCTATTTTTACCTCTGTTTTTCTAAATTGTTTCTCACCCCTTGAGCTGAACACTGAGTACCCGATGGCAAAGATGTATTTCATACATCCGTTTGGAACCTGTGATTAAAACAAGGGAGTATTTGTCTTTTCTTCAGAGAGGCAGTTTTCTGTCTGTAAGGGTCTTGTTTCCTTAAGGATTTCAGCTGTTTACACTAGTGGGGCCAAAGACAGCACATGCCAGCCAAGGACATGCGAGCCACCTCTGCAGGACCTCTGGGATCTCTGCCACGCGGGGCTGGGGTGGGGGGGTGTGAGGACCCTCTGCGTCCCACTGTAAGATCATATTTTTGCTCTGTACTCCTGATTGTCACAAAGGCCTGATAGTGAGTGGTTCCCACGACCACCAAGCAGGACATTCTCTCCCTACAAGTCATTTACCCAAATCATGCATTTAGAACACAGTGGTTAAGGACACCAGACTGACCTGGGTTTGAATCCCAGCCCCACCTCTCCTCATTAGCTGAGTAACCTCAGTCAGCAGACTTAACCCCTCTGAGCATTCACTTCCTTAGATAATAAAAGCGCCACCCTCAGGCTTGTGGTGAGGATTCAAGGGAACCAAGCAAGTGAGAGTCCTGACAGAGGCATCCCTGTGTCATTACTAGGGCAGCCGTACAGTTTCTTGCTTTTGTCCCAACACGATAAATTAACAGCACACCCTTTCATTCACAAAAGTGTCCTGGTTTCAACAGCAAATTAAATAGTCTCCCTAATTACTACTCGGACGTGTGAGCTAGTCTCAGAATCTTTGTTCTAACTCTATTTCTATTTCTATTTTTCCTTCAAGTCAGGGTTGAGGGCTGCTTTGCCCTTTGGCTATAAAGAGCCAAAGATGGATCGTGCCCCGCCCCCCCTGCCATGTGAGCCAACTCTGGGCCGAGGGAGGGGAATTGGGGCAGAGAACTGGAGGGAGTCACAGAGGATGGAACTCTCAGGGTTGCAGGATGAGTTTGTAAAATTGATCAGGACATAATGCTTTCTGTAAAATGGAAACATGTTGGCCAAAGATGGGATGTATTGTACGGCACTCACATGCTCAGGCGTATGCCCCAGGAATTCCTTCGCAGCGCTCGGGGAGAGACTGCAAGCAAGGACATGCTCATCAGTGATGGGAATGATTGAGCAAGTGGATCCGTTGCGACTGTGGCATACTGCGCAGCCACTTAAAAAGTGAATTTGATCTATTTGTATTGCCACTCCAAGATATATTGCTAAATTTTAAGAAAGAAAAGAAAAACCATTCATTCATCTATTCCGTGAATATTTATTAAATACCCGCCCTGTGCCGAGAACTGTGAGAACTGTCCTTGGTGTCGGGCTATAGCGGTAAACAAGATTAAGTTTCTGCCTGCAGAAGGACAATAAGCAGTATTTATTAAATACCCACCCTGAGCCGAGAACTGTCCTTGGTGTCGGGGCTATAGTAGCAAACGACAAGATCAAGTTTCTGCCTGCAGACGGACAATAAGCAGTATTTATTAAATACCCACCCTGTGCCGAGAACTGTCCTTGGTGTCGGGGCTGTAGAGGTAAACAAAGCAAGATCAGGGTCCTGCCTGCAGAAGGACAGTAAGCAAATGAGGGAACACAGCATAGTCTCAGGCAGTGGGAAATGACATTAAGAAATCAGAGTAAGCCCTGGCCGGTTTGGCTCAGCGGTTAGAGCGTCAGCTTGCGGACCAGAGAGTCCCGGGTTTGGTTGCCGCTAAGGGCATGTACCTTGGCTGCAGTTTGTCCCTGGCCCTGGTTGGGTCGTGTGGGTGGCGGCCACTCGATCACATTAATGTTTCTCTCTCTTCCTCTCTCTCCTTCCCACTCTATCTGAGTAAAAAATGGAAAAATGTCCTCGGATGAGGATAAAAAAAAAAAAAGAAATCAGACTAAGTCCTGACCGGTTGGTCAGTGGTTAGAGCATCGGCCTGTGGACCAGAGAGTCCCGGGTTCGGGTCCCGCTAAGGGCATGTACCTTGGTTGCAGTTTGTCCCTGGCCCTGATTGGGGTCGTGTGGGTGGCAACCAGTCAATGTGTATCTCTCACATCGATGTTTCTCTCTCTTCCTCCCTCTCTCCCTCCTGCTGTATTTGAAGATAAATGCAAAAATGTCCTCAGGTGAGGTTAAAAAAAAAAACACAGAAGAAATCAGAGTAATGTGATGGACAGTGGCACGGGGGAGAGGGAGAAGCATCATGGCTTAGGAGGGCTCAGAAGATCTCCTTGAAGAGGTGAGAGGGAGCCAGCCGTGGGACGGTCTGGGGAGCGTGTTCAGCAGTGGGAACAGTAGGTGCTAAAGGTCCCAGATAGGCATGAGGGAGTGAGGCACACCCCAGAAGGGCAGGAAGACCGTGTGGCTGGGACAGGGGCAAGGACCCCATCCCGCAGGGTTCTATAGGCCTGGGAAGGAGTTGGGATTCTGCTAATCATGCAAAGGCAAATGTTGGAGGCCTTCGAAAAAATCATTTTGCTAGCAATACATGCCATATGTCTAACAGGATCCCGTTTATTACTTTTTAAAGATAGGTAGGTAAACTTCATAATGGCATAGTAAGAGAACTGGCAATCCGTATATCGAACTGTTAATGGTAGTTAACTTCTGGGCAGGCGGTGTGAATGAAGACTTGTTTTACTCTATACCTCTGAGTTTGGATGTCTTATAGCAAAATATGTTTATTATTGGCTAATTAACAGAAAACTAACTACGGTTTGACTCAGCCTTCAAAAAGTACGTTGTATTTTGCCCTGGCCGGTTCGGTTCCTCAATAGAGTGTCGGCCCTTGGTTAGGGCACGTACCTGGGTTTCAGGTTCGATCCCGGCCCTGGTTGAGTCATGTGGGAGGCAACCAGTTGTTGTTTCTCTCTTTCTCTCCACCTCTCCCTCCCTTCCACTCTATCTAAAAAATGGAAAAATATCCTCGAGTGAGGATTAACAAAAATAAAATAAAAAGAAGTACCTTGTATTTTACCCACAGTAAGATACAATACAGTGAAAATTGTACCATGATACCCTTTCAACGTCTGCCTTTCGGACTTGAATCCCTTTACTCTGCTCCTTACTGCGTTGAAAACCATGCATTTAACTGAGACTAGAAGTGGAGTTCCTCCCTCTTCCCTTTTTTCCTTCCAAGAGGCTGCCTGTTTCCCTACACTGTTATCTGCTTCCTTACATGATTTTTTCTTTTAAAAGAAGTCAATGTGAAAGGAACTCTTCCTTACAGGGCATTTTTATCTCTAGAAGTGGGCTTGTTTTCGCCATTTAGCCCGTTAGTGTTTTACAGCTCATGCAGGTGGCAGCTACAGTGGACGAGGGTGATCTGGGTGGTGGTGGAGTCACCTTTGCTTAGGGAGGGCACAGAGGGCAGACGCTTGAGCCATCCCTCGGGCTTTTGCACCTAGTGCTTACCTTGATTCTGGGCCTTGAGAGATGCCCTGACCCCACATCGGCTCAGGGTCGAGGTGGCGGCTGGCTGTTCACTCTGCAGCGACCAGAGGTTTATTTTTATCTGGTCTGAATTCATCCCCCGGATAGAACTTGTTTATTTATACAAAAAATTTTAAACATTTGAGTTAGTTGCCATCATTAAATTCAGCCCCCAGATGGGGTTTATCTATGCAGAAAATATTTAAACATTTGAATTAGTTACATCATTAAGTTAGGAGATGTCCCATGAGAAACAGATATCTGGCACCTCTAAGAAAACCGGAAGAAACACTGGTCAGCACGAGGCCCCATGCACAGGGCTGCCCTCAGCCCCTTGCAGATGGGCTTGTCTGTGCCTTCTTCACCCGTGGGCTCCTCTCCCACTCTTTATTTACTTTTATTGATTTTTTAGAGGAAGGAACATCAATGTGAGAGAAAAAATATAAATTGACTGCCTCCCACATGTCCCCTACTGGGGATCGAGCCTGCAACTCAGGCATGTGCCCTGACCAAGAATCAAACAGGAATTCTCAGTCCATGGGACATCACTCAGTCCACTGAGCCACACCAGCTGGGCTTTATTTTTATTGTCTGGCCCCTGAGGAGTCTGCTTCATACCCCTGGCCTAGTTCACCAGACTAAGCTGGCCAGCAAACCCCTTCTGTGCAGAGCCTGAGGCAGGATGGCCTGGGGCCTGGCAGTGGGCTCCAGGGTTCAGCACTGAGACAACGTCTGTGTTCCTCTGTCCTCTGACTTGCAGAGCCTTTGGCTTTCTGGAGTGGTTGTTTAATGTCAGGACTGCCGTGGACTGTAACAACCTGTTTCTACGAGTAGGACAACAGTGTGGTGTCACCACTTAATCAAGCTCCTCTGGTGACTTTTACTTCAAGATAGGAACCCCAAAGTCTCGGCTGTGGGGATATGGGGGTTTGGAAAATGGATATTTTATAACCTTGTGTTAATGCACTCTTAACCTTGTGTTAATGTATTCTCGGAAACCTGGCCCTCCCAGGTGCTTTGAGGGCCTCATTTGCATGTGAATTAGGGTTTGTTATCTTTTGGCTTCAAAGGCTTTTCCCTTAAACAGCAAGAGACCAAGCTAGGGTGGATGGCTTGTAGAAAGGCCATGTCAAGGACATGATTTACATAAATCCCCTTGTAACCTGAGGGTACCAATCTCCAAATAAATGGGACTGCGTCCAAAGCTTGGGAGCATTTGCCCCCTTGCAAAGCTCCCCCTCACTCCAGGCAGCGTGTGCTTGTCGTTTCATTGCGTTGCATCAATCCCGGCAGACTGAGAGATGGCACTCAGTTTTGCCAAGGAATTATTAAACAGGCTGGCGAAACAAAGCCCTTTGAAAGCCCAGAAGCCAACAACTTCCGTATTGGCCTGCAGTGCTCAAGACCAAGTCCGTAAAAGCAGAAGTGTGTCTTGTCCTGTTTTCCTCTCCGGTCTCCACGGGGTTCCAGATCCAGGTTCTGGTCTCTCCCCCACCACTTCCCCGTTGGCTTTGCCTTCTGATGGCTCTGTGGCAGGGTCAGCTCTCCAGGTGGTCACCTGCAGCACACACTGAACCACCAGGTGTGTGGTGTGTTTGTCCTCCCGCAGGGCAGTGGTTCAGAACGACTTGAGCTGCAGTCTTCGCAGTGCTCTGCGGTAGCAAGTACACAAGTCACCTGCTCCTTCCCTTCTCCCATCTTGTCGGGTGCGGCTGGGGACAGCATTGCTGGGATGTCCCTGTCCCACCTCTGTACAGGAAAATGAAAGAGCAAAGAATTTGCTGTTTCTTTCTTTTTTTAAGAATTTGCTATTTCTTAAGAGGGCTAGGAGATATAATGTCCTACTACTAGATAAAATGTTCCAACTACTGTTGTCCTTCAGGCCAGCAAATGCCTTTGGGCAACACAAAGAGTAGGCTTTTCCTGCATCTTGTAGGGTATTGTTTATAGAGCAAGTTTCACCGCTGAAATGTCTCCAGTGCAGTTTTATGAATTTTCACCCTTTTATAAATGGAAAGTTCACCAGTAATATCTATTTCTACAGAATGGCAGGAGTTAAGTTTTTTTTTAAAATCCTCATCTGAGGATATTTTTCCATTTATCTTTAGATAGAGTGGGAAGAAGGGAGGGAGGAAGGAAGAGAGAAACAGCGATGTGAGAGAGACACATCGATTGATTGCCTCCTACATGACCCCAACTAGGGTCAGGGACTGGATTGCAACCGAGGTACATGCCCTTGACTGGAATCGAACCTGCACCTCTTTGGTCCACGGGCCGACGCTCTAACTGCTGAGTCAAACCAGCTAGGGCTGGAGTTAAGATTTTGCTTATAAAGCTTGACTTGTGTCATGTATTTTGGCTTATTTAGTGACTGTGTAAAAATGTCAGCTTCCTTACATGAACTCGAGGCCCTAGACAGGGAGACACTCCTAGGAACCTCCCATGAAGTGCTTCGGAAGGGATTCGGGGTAGTGGCCAAATGGTGAGGCTCAAATCCTCAGTAAACAACAAAAGTTGTAAACTCTCATGGAGAGCTTTAAAGAAAAGACATTACATGTTATAGCACATTTCTCTTTCTATAAGAGTATTTCATGGTGATCATGGAGAAATTCAAAATTAAGACAAAGTATAAAAAGTAAATCAAAAGCTACCCAGATTCTTATACTCTCTGTCCAAAGAGTGGTTTGTCTGCCCTCCTTCTGACTGTGGATGACAGTGACAGCTCATACCTGTCCTGTGATGGGCACTTGCATGGCTAGTCTTCATTACCCTCCTAACAGTTCATGAGTGGGTACTGTTAGTTCCTCTGTACAGATGAGAAAACTGAGGCTTGGGGGGGGGGGTGGGGGGCTTGGCCCAAGGTCAACTAGCTGATAGTGAAGCTGCTAGACAGAAGGGGCTCTTAGAATTTCTCTGCAGCCTCCGGGAGGCCTCAGGTAATATTTTCTTCTTTTTCTTAAAACACCTAACACTGTAGGCTCCAAGGACTTGTGGGAAGTGTGACATTACTTGTGGATAACATGGTAGATGCTTTCCTGCTCCGTTCATGTCTGGGTGCTTTGCCCCTTTGTCCCTCTCCAGGCATCATGGCCATCCTGTTCTCGGGCATCGTGATGTCCCACTACACGCACCATAACCTGTCCCCAGTCACACAGATCCTCATGCAGCAAACCCTCCGGACTGTGGCCTTCTTGTGCGGTGAGTTCTGCTTCTCTGTGGTCCGGCGGGGGCCTCCTCAGAGGATCGTTCTTCTCACCCTGTTTGAGGAGCTGAGACTTTCCCTGGCAGAAGAGGTAGCAGGATCCCCCAGAGCCAGAAACTGCACTCCCTTATCTTTTGTTTGTTGCTCTGGCTTTCAAATTCCACAGAGTAGACCTAATACCTAACAAATGAACATTTGACACCTACAGTTTTAAAACCAAAAATAATGAGAGCTATTAATTATGAACATTTGAGCCTCGTACATTTTAATGTATTAAAGTGACATTTCCAAAAATGTTTTCCTTGGAACTGATATTAATGAGGGCTAGGTGAATAAAGACTCCATCATCAAAAAGCTTAGGAAATCCTGGGGTGAAGTTGAACACACTCCAGAATGGCAGGACTGGAACCAGCATGCATTGTGGGTTCTGAGAGAGGAACGTAGTCACAGCCTTTCCTGAACTTGTCCGCAGGCCCTTTGTTCACAAGAGCATCTCGAAGACATAACTTGGGGAAGTGTCGTTGGGCTTTTCAGCCCACGTACCTCCTCCCTAGTTTATGCCTGGCAGTGAAGGAGTCACTCTCACACTGTCCCTTTGCCCTGGTGCCCAGGTGTCTGTGCCCTAGCTGTCACCATCAGTATCACCCCTGGCATTTCCGTGGGACTTGCCACGTGGAAGTGTAGTTCCACCTTGTCACATGCTGGGAGGCTGTACAGGCAGCAGTGCCCGGGTAAGGGGACTCAAGCGCCGATGCGTCCAGCGACTTGCACACAGCCTCATGGCCCAGAAGTGACTCTGAGGCCAGGCCTGTCTCCTCTGGCCCAGTGGGTATTTTTTCCACAGCAGCCCTCTCAGAAAGTCACGGCAAAAGACTCTGACCCTGACTCTCACAATTAGAAGAGTGAAAAGCAAAACCTCTGTCAAATTCTGCTCTGTGCCCAGCAGATGAGTAAATTCTGAGTTTGATAAGACCCTCTTCAGCGCAGGTGTGTGGAAGACAGGCCCTGTGGGTGGGCATGCGTACTGAGCCATCCCTCTGGAGACTCCTCTGCAGCGTGTCTGAATGTGAAGTGCACGTGCTCTCTGACCCACCGGTCTACCGCCAGGAATTGTGCCTCTGCACAGGCACGTTTGTTGTCATTTGTAATATCAGAAATAGAAACAGTTGAATAAACATCTACAAAGAGTTTGTTAAATTAACCATGACATACCCATACAGGTAGGGCAAAAGGAGGTTTACAGTTGTTCATATGGAAAATAATACAATAATTAATACATAATAATACAAGAATAAATTCTAGCCCTGGCTGGTTTGACTCAGCGGTTAGAGCGTCAGCCTACAGACCAAAGAGTCACGGATTCAGTTCTGGACAAGTGCACGTACCTTGGTTGCAGTTCAGGTTCCCGGCCCAGGTGCAGGAGGCAACCGATCGATGTGTCTCTCTCACATCGATGTTTCTCTCTCTCCCCCCTCCCACTCTATCTGAAGATAAATGGAAAAATATCCTCGGATGAGGACCAAAAAAAGAGTAAGTTCTGTGTTTTGTGTACTCACAGCTGCAAACTTACTTTTGCCCTACCCTATATAGTAGAATTTATGCTGCCAGAGAAAAGCATAATGTAGATCTCAATGTGTTCTAAATGAGCTGATTTGGAAAGATCACAAAAAATATTTACTGGATCAGAAAAAAATTCAAGGAGAGAGGTGAATCTACTGTCCAACTTGTGGCTTGTTTTAAAAGGATACACATTTGAAGGAAAAAACATGGCCGAAATGTTTTAAAACAACCTTGCTGTATTATGATGTTCAACTATTTTAAAATACAGTCTTTTCTCCCTGGTTATGAGGCTGTTCTGGGGGGGTGGTTGTCACAACTTAAGCAGGGAGCCTAGCGCTGGAAATGTATGGGGTTCTTCTCCTCAAGGTACACAGCACCCGCTTGTACAAGGAACATAAATGTCAGGCCCTTTTTGATTTGTGGAGTAGAGCCGAGAGCTGGAAATATACCCCTTCCTGCAAACCCTCAGGGTGTGAGCCTTCTAAAACTGCGGTGGTGGTAGCTCTGTGAGCGTAATCAGCAGCTTTGTCCAGGTGGCAAGGACAATAACAGAGGGCCCTTCTCACCGGTCATGTGGCGTCTGTAGCCATTGGCTCTGAGTTTTTCTACTTTGCCAGCAGTCTGGATCTTTGCTAATCACAGTGTTCAGCAAATGGACTGAGGACTTATTTGCTTGAGTATTTGACAATTGCCTCATTAAATGACGACATTCAGAACAGCAAGCACATTTTGATCGTGTGACAAAAAAGAAGGAATTGTAGTACCAGTTTCACCAGGTGTTGGTTGCAGGATGTTCCAGAAAATAAACAGTGTTCTATTGGATGCTGACTTACCTGTGAATGTTTGCTTGCTTAACAGTTTAGTACTGTATCGGAAGAAATAGTTGGGGCTGAATAATCCATTTTTTGGTTTGTTTCAGAAACATGTGTGTTTGCATTTCTTGGCCTGTCCATTTTTAGTTTTCCTCACAAGTTTGAAATTTCCTTTGTCGTCTGGTGCATAGTAAGTATTTTCCTTGTTTTTTATTTAATTACTTATTCATAGCTCAGTGACCACATACGTAGATTCATTTATGTAACTGTTAACTGTTCAAAGTCAACAGCTACATAGACACTCTTATGTTTGTGTTTCTTTTGTTAAAAAAATCACTAACATACAATAAAGGGATGGAAATGAGTGAATGAATATCCCTGGAAAGGAATTTTTCCTTCTTTCTACATTTTAAGTGGACTTGAATGATATAGTCTTCTTTTAAAAGTACAAGTTTAGGGAGAAATGGAAATAAAGCTTTCTTAAAAAAAAAGAAGTACAAGTGTATGTATTTTTATATTAGATGGTAAATGCAGATTTCGGAATTGACTATGTATTTGAGCTAACCATGTAAAAACATTATTCATAGGAAAAAAAAGATGTAAAGAAAATTTCACCAAATGTTCCCAGTACTTATAGAACTGAGGATGATTCTTTTTCTTTTCTGTAATTTATAATGCATATATTTCTTCCTGCGGTTCTCTTTCGATATGTCCATTCATAAGCATGACCTTGACCACTTGTGTAAAGATTACCAGACCCTTAGTTTCCCTGGAGATTCATCCAGGGGACTCATCCCCGGTGATTCTTACCATCGGAAAGGTTTAGGAAACTGCTATAATTGGACTGGGGATGCAGTAGGAGACAAATTAAAATACATCTCTGAAAAAGGAAAGTAGAAGTTAATCATTTGCAGGAGAATCAAACCCTCGTGGGGGAATGAAAGCTTAGCATTTAAAAGAAAGGTCCAGCTCTTTCAGGCATCTAATCAAAGTGACACAAGTGACTTCTAACAATTTGGGCATTTTGCCCGGTGTCCCCAGGTCGCTGTCTGTGTTCCTCTGTGTGTCTGTTCCCTCCGAGCGAGCTCTTCCGGAGGCCCTCCTGCTGACTCACACTCCAGTCCCCAGTTTGATTTCTTTGTTGCCTTTTTAGATCCTTTTTTACTTTAAGGCATTTAAGAAGTATACCTTATTATTGTTGAATTATAATTCATCTTCAGTTAACTATTATTACCAACTCCACTTAATAAAGCACAGCTATCAAGAGGCAAACCTTTATTTCACACAGTCCTCTACCTTGTGCACACCAGGGAGGCCTACCTGTTTGGCATATGGGGAAACTGAGACACAGAGAAGACAAGGAGCCCTAAGGAAAAACATGTTTCTCCTTGCAACCTGGTACTTTCACCTCTCAGTCGGCAAGAGCACGTGGCTTTTGTCACTGTTATCTGTCCTCTAAACTCTGTTTCAGGACAAGAGGATGGCAGCAGGTCTTTTCTGAAAGTATAATCGTCTTTAGTGTGGTCACTAGGTAAAAGGGGCCACCTCTGGTGAAACCTGAGACAGAGGTGTCAGAATGGAAGATTGGATTCTAGTGGTGAAACGGAGGCGGCTGTGTCAGCCGTGGGTTGGGAGGAAAGGAGAATGAGATGCCCTGGAGCGGGGACTCGGTTTCCCCCGAGCACACAGGCTGGCCCTGCTGCTCCTGGGGGCCACTTGTGCTCTTCGGATGGATTACCTGCCACTGGATAGTGGTCAAGGGCATGATTTTGGGGACTGAACCAGGTTTGAGACTTGGCTCCACCACTCCTGCCTGGGTCAGCTTGGGCCAGTTACTTAAGCTCTCTTTGTCTGTTTCCTGGTCTCCAAAATGGAGACAGTATACCTACTTCATAAGACCATTGCAGGGATCTAATTTACCAAGATAATGCATGTTAAATGCTTAGCATATTGTCTGGCATATAAATGTTAGATGATTGGGAGCCATTATTAACTTGACCATCCAAGGTACACACGCCAAAGCACACTCATTTGGTGCTGGTTAAAAGGTAAACATGGAGCCTACAGGATGTTCAAGATTTTTTAAATGGAGGTGAGTTAGTAAGTAGCTCTAAGTATCCACTTAGATAAGATTTGAACTTTGCATAAAGCCGTATTTTGTTAAGACCAGCATGCCTTTGGAGATGGTTAGGAGCCCAAAGCCATGGCAAGCATCTGGCTGGGTTGTGTGGCCTCTTTTAGAACTTACCTGTGCATTCCTTTTGCTCGGGGAACAGTGTTTACATGTATGGGTTGGCCCTTCTCAGTCTTCCCTCCTTTACCTGAAGAGTAGGGCCCCCACAGGAGAGGCAGGAACACCTTGGCTGTCCCTCCAGAGCTAGCCCTTTGGGAATCATTAGCACAGCCCTGTCCCATGGTGGAGCACCTCTGGAGGAATTCGATTGCCCTTAAGTTAATTGATCTCTGGGTACTTCTGCATGGCCTCTTGGCATTTGCTTCTGTTCTGCTGCCATTACGAAAGCCATCGCTGATGCCTTGACAGTCCTCTCTTTCTGACTACTGAGATGTAACGTACAAAGCTTTATCCTTCCCAGACACAGAAACCAGGCAATGAGGACCACACCCGGCTGGGTTTCTGACTAGCATAGTGTTATCCACGCCTTTTATAACCAAGGGGGATGCCGTATTTGTAGTGGGTGTGCTACAAGTCCTGTGTGAGCTTCAACAAGCTTCAACTTGAAGAACCAGAGGTTTCCACCTAAGACTTGGTTTGTTGCTGTTAACAGGTGCTTGTACTCTTTGGCAGAGCGTTGAACATTTTCCCTCTTTCTTACCTGCTGAATTTCTTCCGTGATCATAAAATCACACCGAAGATGATGTTCATCATGTGGTTTAGTGGTAAGTCCAATCTGGAACGAACAGTGGGGGAACGATAGCTCTTACAAAGACACACTGCGCAGAGGCATATGGGCCAGAGCCCTTGGAAAACAAGTGTGCCTCATGAGCCCAAATAATACAGGTTCCCAAGCCTGTCTGTGCTGCCAGGAGCCACGCAGTGGGGCGACGGACAAATTGCATCCTGTGCTGTGGACTGTGAAGCTGTGTGGCCCTGGGGGGACACTGTTCTCTCAGTCTCAGTTCCTCCTCTGTAGAGTAACAGGACCTGCTTTATGGGTTTCCATGAACATCAAATGAGATCATGCACACAAAGCACTTAGCACAGGGTGTGGCTCACACACAGGAAGGCTCGGTCTGCACTAGCTGTCGTATTTCTAATATGTGAGTGTTGGGCTTGATAAATATACTCAGTCACTCACACTCGCGCGTGCACGCTCACGTACGGTACTTCATGGCCTGGACAGAGCACCTCATTTGATCTGTGAATTCACTTGACCCTGTGAAGTGGGGATGGAGGTGAGCCTCCACCTGGGCCCCACTTCTCTGCGCCTGCTTTTCTCACCCCTAGGGCCTCACATGATGAGTTTGTGCTCTCCGGGTGTCTGTTAGGATGTTCGCCTGCCATGATGCTGGGCCGTCCACAGGTCCCCTGAGAACTGGGTCAGGATATGCCGCTGTCTTCTCCTCCTCTTACTCTCTTCGCTGTTCCCCCAGGCCTGCGGGGTGCCATCCCCTACGCCCTGAGCCTGCACCTGGACCTGGAGCCCATGGAGAAGCGGCAGCTCATTGGCACCACCACGATCATTATTGTGCTCTTCACCATCTTGCTACTGGGTGGCAGCACCATGCCCCTCATCCGCCTCATGGACATCGAGGACGCCAAGGCGCGTCGCCGGAATAAGAAGGACGTCAACCTCAGCAAGACAGAGAAGATGGTTAGTGCTTGGTGGGTTAGTCCCTGCTGACTGCCAGGAATAGGGGAAATGAGAACGATTTGATGCTCAGCACCTGTGCACGCCCACTGCATGCACGCACACCTGCATGCATGCACACCCTGCACACATGCAGTTGCCCAACCTGACAAGGAGGTTGAACTAAGGTTCTGAAGCATGGCTGTTTGGTGCCTCGTCTGCCAGCCTCATGGCCTAGTGCAGCATGGAGGTCGTGGAGCAGGGGATATGGGCCTGTATCAGACTCTCCAGCAGCGCTCCTCTCCTGCCATCAGGGCCCAGGACAGAAGGTTTTAAAATCACATCATTCCCCAGTATTTACCGAACACCTCCTGTTGGGGCCTGAGTGGGGGAAGGTGCTTACAGTGGCTTTGAGGACCATGAGAGAGGTGCCCTCCACCGAGGCCGGACAAGGGCCTGATTGGGAGCTGAGGTGCCCAGGGCACGGCTGCAGTGAGCCTGCGGTCCCGGTACCTCTGCCTCCCTCTGTTCCTCCAAGCCACCCTTCTGCCTGGCAGCTGCTCCTGCCAGTGGGCTGTCCCTCCCAGGCCAGCTGTGGTCATGTGTCCCCTGTGTCCCCCTGTGAGCCCCATGTGCCGAGTCAGACTCTGACAGGAGCAGAGGCCGCCCTGGCCTCTCATCCCACCTTTCTGCACCCACCGCCCCCCACACACGAATATCCAGAAACTAATCTTTTTCTAGTTGCCTTATTCAAGGCCATCAGTAACTTAATTAGTCATGGATGGCACATCAATCCTCGACCAGGAACAGGGAGAGACGGCCCGCTTCTCGCACTGGAAGGCCGGGTCTGGGTAGATCTTGGCGCCTTGTGTCTGCCCTGCTGGGAAGGAGCCTTCCGGGGGCCGCGTGCTGGGCTGCCTCGGCCTTCCCGCTCCCGTCTCAGCTGCCCTTTCCCACCCTCCCACCAACTTCGTTGTTGTTTTAATCCTCACTGAGGATGTGTTTATTGATTCTCAGAGAGAGGGGAAGGGAGAAAGAGAGAAGCATCCATGTGACAGGGAAACGTTAATCGGTTGCATCCCATATGCGCCCCGACCCGTGGTTGAACCTGCAACCTAGGTATGTGCCCTGACAGGGAACTGAACCACAAACTTCTTTTGGTGTATGAGACAATGCTCCAACCAACTGTGCCACGCAGCCGGGGCCCAACTTTGTGGGTGTCAGAATCCGTGAAGGCTCCAGGGTCCTACAGGTCTGGGGTGGGGCTAGAAAGAAGTGGCATTTCTAACAGATTGCCAGGTGCTGATTCTGCAGCCACACTAGGTGACCCAGCCGCCCTGGGCTCCAGTAGAAGCAGGATGTTTGCTCAGAGGAAGCACATGCTGTGCGAGGAGTGTCCTATGGCGCAGGCACTGTGCTTGAGTCTCCTTGGACCCTCAGGTCGCCCGTGACCTGCAAGAAGCAGAGGCTCTCGTGCCCATTTTACAGATGAGAGCACTGAGGCACACAGCTAAGGTCACACAGACTCCAGAGCCTGCATTCTTTTTTTTTTTTTTTTATCCTCACCCGAGGATAGTTTTCCATTTTTTGTACAGATAGAGCGGGAGGGAGAGAGAGGAAGGGAGAGACAGACAGAAACATCGACGTGAAGGGACACATCGAGTGGTCGCCACCCGCACGACCAACCAGGGCCGGGGACAAACTGCAACCGAAGTACATGCCCTTAACGGGAACTGAACCCGGGTCTCTCCAGACCGCAGGCCGACGCTCTAACCGCTGAGCCAAACTGGCCAGGGCCAGAGCCTGCATTTTTAACTGCCACAGTCTCCATTAGTGGTGTCTGATGTGGGGCTCCTGGACCAGCAGCACCACTGGGAACTTGTTAGGAATGCAGATTCTTGGGCCCCATCCCATACTTCCTGAATCAGGAACTCTGCACATGGGGCCAGCATGTGGATTCACAAGCCCTCCAAACCTGCACTGGCTGCAGGGGCTCCCTGGTGGAGGCCCAGTTATTTTTATTTATTTATTTTCATTTCCCTTTTTTTTGTTGTTTTTTTTATCCTCACCCGAGGACATTTTTCCAATTTTTGTACAGATAGAGTGGGAGGGAGGGAGAGAGGGAGGGAGGGAGGGGGAGAGAGAGAGAGAGAAACATTGACGTGAAAGGGACACACCGAGTGGTTGCCACCTGCACGACCAACCAGGGCCGGGGACAAACTGCAACCGAAATACGTGCCCTTAGCGGGAACCGAACCCGGGTCTCTCCGGACCGCGGGCCAATGCTCTAACCGCTGAGCCAAACCAGCCAGGGCTCCCTTTCTTTTTTTATTTATTTTTGTTACAGATGTTTCTCCTTTTTCCCCCATTGGCACCCTCCTTCCGATCCCACGCCCCCCGTAATACCCCCCCCAGCATTGTTTTCTATATCCATTGGTTACACATATAAGTTCTGTGGTTTATCTCTTCCCTCCCCCTCGTCCCCCTCTTCTGAGGTTTGTCATTCTGCACCCTACTTCTATGTCTCTGGGTCTATTTTGTTCATCAGCTTATCTTGTTTATTATATTCCACAAATAAGTGAAATCATGTGATATTTGTCTTTCTCTGATTGGCTTGTTTCGCTTAGGATAATACTCTCCAGATCCCTCCATGTCATCTCAAAGGATACGAGATCTTTCTTTCTTACAGCTGCATAGTATTCCATTGTGTATATATACCACAGCTTTTTTATCCACTCATCTATTGATGGACACTTGGGTCTTTCCAGATCTTAGCTATTGTAAATAGTGCTGCTATGAACATGGGGGTACATATATTCTTTCTGGTTGGTGTTTCAGGCTTCTTAGGGTATATTCCTAGAAGTGGGATCACTGGGTCAAATGGCAGTTCAATTTTTAATTTTTTGAGGTAACACCATATTGTTTTCCATAGTGGCAGCACCAGTCTGCATTCCCACCAGCAGTGTACTAGAGTCCCCTTTTCTCCACACCCTCGCCAACACTTGTTGTTTAAGGATTTGTTGATGGTGACCATTCTGACAGGTGTGAGGTGATACCTCATAATCATTTTAATTTGCATCTCTCTGATGATTAGTGACATTGAGCATTTTTTCATATGTCTCTTTCTTGGCCATTTGTATGTCCTGTTTGGAGAGATGTCTATGTAGATCCTATGCCTATTTTTTAATGGAGTTGTCTTCCTTTTGTTGAGTTGTATGAGTACTCTATATATTTTGGAAATTAACCCCTTACCTCATGTATCATTGGCAATTATACTCTCCCATATAGTGGGTTCCCTTTCCATTTTGATGGTTGTTTCTTTTGCTGTGCAGAAGCTTTTTAGTTTGATGTAGTCCCATGCGTCCATTTTTTCCTTTGTTTCTCTTGCCTTAGGTGATGTATCAGTGAAAATTCTGCTGCGTGTGATGTCTGAAATTTTGTTGCCTACATTTTTTCCCAGGATTTTTATGGATTCATGAGTCACATTTAAGTCTTTTATGCATTTTGAGTTTATTCTTGTGCATGGTGTAAGTTGGTGGTCTAGCTTCATTTTTTGCATGTAGCTGTCCAAAATTCCCAACACCATTTATTAAAGAGGCTGTCCTTACTCCACTGTATGCTCTTGCCACCTTTGTCAAATATTAATTGAGCATTATGACTTGGGTCCATTTCTGGGTTCTCTGTTCTGTTCATTGATCTATATGAGGCCCAGTTATTGACTGTGGCTAGTGCAGCTCCTCTAGCAAAGCAGCAAACACTGCGTTCGAATCCTGTGTGGTTGGCTCTGCAGAGGCCTGGCGCAGGGCCGAGTAGATGCAGTGAACCTGAGACCTACTTGCCTTCCAGACCTGCTGCGCCAGGTGCAGTCTTCTCTTCATTCCTCTCTGGTTCCCGCTGGGATTGTGTGTATCTCCCCGCTCCCCCGCCCCACTCCCTCCCCTCCCTGGCACTGACCTGCAGATTAAAACCTGGAAGCTGGCCCTGGCCGGTTTGGCTCAGCGGTTAGAGCGTCGGCCTGCGGTCCCAAGAGACCCGGGTTCGGTTCCCGCTAAGGGCACGTACCTCGGTTGCAGTTTGTCCCCGGCCCTGGTTGGTCGTGCGGGTGGCAGCCACTTGATGTGTCCCTTCACGTCGATGTTTCTCTCTCTCTCTCTTCCTCTCTCTCCCTCCCTCTCTATCTGAACAAAAAATGTCCTCGGGTGAGGATAAAAAAAAAAAAAACCTGGAAGCTGCCCAGCTGGTGTGGTTGAGCGTCAACCCATGCCGGTTCGATTCCTGGTCAGGGCACATGCCCAGGTTATGGGTCCAATCCCCAGTGAGGGGCATGCAGGAGGCGGCCAATTGATGTTCTCTCTTACTGATTATTCTATCTCTCTCTCACTTTCCCTTTTTCTCTCTCTAAAATCAATAAAGGAAAAAACATTTAAAAAAAACACCTGGAAGCTTACAAACCAAGCCCAGCTCCAGCCCAGAACTTCTGACGTATTCACAATTCTGATTTATTCCTGGATATCCATGTTTTTACAAACCTTCCTGCCTCCCTCCAGGCTCTCAGGAAGCCCTCTGCCACCCACAGACACACTGCATTGATTCAAAAGTGCAGTTAGGGTTGGGGACACTGGTGCTGGGGTGAAGGGCTGCTGGGTAAGATGGGTGGTGTGGGGGCTTCCAGGAAGATGCTAGCCCATCTACCGACCCTCCGCTGCCTTCCTTCCCCCACAGGGCAACACGGTGGAGTCGGAACACCTGTCAGAGCTCACCGAGGAGGAGTATGAAGCCCACTACATCAGGCGGCAGGACCTGAAAGGCTTCCTGTGGTTGGATGTCAAGTACCTGAACCCCTTCTTCACACGGCGGCTGACCCAGGAGGTGGGCCGGGGGCCAGGCCACAAGGCCAGGGTCCTTTGCCTTCTTCCCTCAGAACCTGCAGTGGCCCAGAGGCAGGGGAGGGGGCAGGGAAGGCCCACATGCTGTGCTGGGGAGGCAGCCAGGCCACCTCCTCCCACTTGGCTCTCCTTCCCAGGATCACATCTGCTGTTTTTCCTTTGCTGCCGGATTTAGTGCTAGTTTAATAATAGACTTGTTAACACAGTTTGCTTTTCCTGGATGATAAGACTCGGGACACTGATCAGCTACTGAATCTGAGCTGAGGAATTTCAGACACGCCAGGGCCACAGGCAGTCTCGAGGCTCACTCGGGCTCTTGTTCCGTCATTCCGGGCACTGCTGGCCTCTGGGTGACAGTCTGTGAGACAGTCTCATGGGGGCCAGCTTGGGCCTGCTTTGCTGAACCCGTCACCCTGCCCCATGCAGGCCTTCAGGTTGGGGTGGGGTTCTTGGCTGCTGCCCCCCTTTGTTTCCGAGCAGTCACAACGCTGTACGTGAGCTCTCACACGAGCCAGGCGTCGCACCAGATGGTGTTCTCTGTTGCTTCTGTTCTTCTCCCAGCAACCTATGCAGCTGTTACCTTGCTTGATACCTGGGGAGGCTGAGGCCAGAGAGGTAAGGTAGCCCCTGAGGTCACACAGGCAGTTAAGAGGCAAAAGTGGGAGTAGAGCCCGAGTGTGTCTGATTCTACCGTTTCTGTTTGTTTGAGGGGGAGAGAGAGAAAGAAACACATTAGTTAGTTGTCTCTCACACATGCTCCAACTGGGGCTGAGGATCGAACCTGCAACCCAGGTACATGCCCTTGACTGGGGATCGGAGCTCTGATCACTGAACCCATCGGCCACAGCCACAGCTACCGTTTTTTGTGTGTGTGTTTTTTTACGTTGTTTTTTATGTTTTATTGACTTATTTATTTATTTTTTTCCTTACCCGAGGACATTTTTGCATTTATCTTCAGATAGAGCGGGAAGGAGAGAGGGAGGAAGAGAGAGAGAAAGAAACATCGATGAGAGAGAGACACATCGAGTGGTTGCCACACACACGACCCCAACCGGGGCTGGGGACAAACTGCAACCCGAGGTACGTGCCCTTAGCAGAACCGAACCCAAGACTCTCCGGCCTGCGGGCTGACGCTCCAACTGCTGAGCCAAGCCAGCCAGGGCACAGCCACCGTTTTTAACATCCTGCCATCCTGCCATCCTGCCATCCTGCCATCCTGCCTCCTACTCCTGCTTCTGTTCTTCTCCACCCCCACAAAGAAGAATCCCAGCTGAGTCAGTCAGTTAACACTTTGAAATTGCCTGTAGCCATGTACCCTGCCTCCCATCCCCCACACAAGATACTAAGCAGCTCCTCTCCCTTGACCCTGACCCTGACCCACTGGCTTGGTTGTGTTTTCTGTCTCAGGACCTCCACCATGGGCGCATCCAGATGAAAACCCTCACCAACAAGTGGTACGAGGAGGTGCGCCAGGGCCCCTCCGGCTCTGAGGACGACGAGCAGGAGCTGCTGTGACGAGCAGGGCCTCCCCTTCGCCCCCAGGATGGACACCCCACAAGAGCCCTGGAGGCAGGTGCATCTGGCAGCTTCTTCAGGGAGGATGAAAGCAGCGTGAAGCCAAGGCGCTGCCTACTTAACCTGACTGTCCAAGCCAGCTGGCTTCTGAAAAATGCCATCTCCCACTGCTCCGAGCCGGACCTCCGCGCGCAGCGTCACTCCCACCCGCAGATCGGAGGGACACCTGTCCAGGTAAACGTTTCCTTTAGCTCCGCAGCCAGGGAAGACAGCCATCTGCGCGGAGGAGAAATCCTGCGGTGGGAGCTGCAGTGAGGGGTGCCCTGGGGGGGGCTGGTCTGCAGCTTTTGCCATTTCAGGGGCGGGCGAGGTGCGAGAGCAGCCGCCAGCTTCCTGATCACCAGGATGCTCAGGCCTCGCAGCAGCACTTCTGACCCGAGTAGCCCAGAAATCTCCAAAACCTCACACTCCCCTTTGTGATGTTGCTTGTACACTCCCCCCCGCCCCAAAGAAAAACTGAGTGACCTTTTTCTTTACCTCTGATTGGCACCTCGCTGGCTGTCTCCCTGGGTCGCAGGCAGCCACTGCCTTCTCTGGGAATACTGTGAATGTTTACACTGGTAAGCAGCACGTGGGCACAGGCCCTTGGGAAGCTGCATCCCTCAGTTTTTCGTGGTGAGTGGGCCTATTCTGTGGTGTCAGAGCGCCCTCTAGAGGAAAAAAGCTAGAGGTACAGTGCTTAGGTGGGCCAGCAACTGCTGTCTGAATTGTTTCAATTCATGCACTTGAACAAAGTGGTGAGAGCCTAGCAGTCACCTCCCTCACCGTGATTCCCTACTTGGTGTCCTTGTGTGTCCAGAGGCCCCTTTTCCTGGGATCCACAGGGGGGTCTACTGCCACCTTCACTGCTAATCAGAATTTCCCAATTTTCTGTTGTTTGGGGTCCCACTTGTCCCCCATGCCAGTTTCCCAGCTCACCCAAGCACAAAGATGGGGTGCCAGAGCCTGCCACTCCTCCCCAGGACTCCAGTGGTCTGCAGCCACATGCATCCAATCCTCACCCACAATCCCCAAGCAGCCACTCTGACCCCAGGACCCGTTCCATTCAGAGTGCTCGCACTGTGTCTCACACGCACCATGGCCGACTCTGTGGGCCCGGCCTCTGGGCCATCTCAGGGTGAAGAGCTGCCAATCATGTCCAGATGAAATGGATTACTGACTCTCACATCCACTCCTCACCTGCCCTTTAACAAGCCTGGAACCTGCTTGCCTTTGCCCATCCATCTACAGGCTGTTTTGGCAATTCTCATGTGTGGCTTAGGGTCCCAGGCAGAGCTGGGACTTGGCACCCTCTGGGTGATTTAATTCATCATGTGCATGTTCTTGGTTCTGTGTGGGGCCTCAGTGGCCAGCATGGACCTGGCTGGCAGCCAGTACGCATCCATCCCTTCTCCTCAGGCAGTGTGGCTCTGGATGTCAGGAAGGACTGACATTGGGACCCTTCAGGACTGTCCAGCCCACGAGGCCAGGCCCCTCCCCTACGCCATTTCCTTTCCCCAGATGTGTAAGTGTAAGGCCAGTCAGGCAGGAAGCACGCGGTTTCCTTTTCATGCATGAAAAGTAAATTTGTACTTGATAGACTAAAATATGATCATTTGTTTTTATAATCTCCCACCTTAACCCAATAATTTGAGCCAAACAGGATTCTTTCACTCCACCTGATACCCCCCTGGAGAAGTAATGTGTGCACAATTCTGGTCTCCTCATTTCCTACTTCCTTTTAGTGGGAAAGTCAGAGAAGATCCAAGAGGGAGAGACCTTTGTCCACATGAAGTGGGGAGTAGGCAGAGATCTGGGACCATATTGTTCTCTCATCCCCCAACTCACAAGTGATTTACTTTCTGCCCTAAAACTCAGGGTCTGATCTCAGAGGTGGGAATTCCATTGCAAACTCAATAGCTTGCCAGAGGAAAACAATTTGTTTTTTTTTAGTTCACAGAGTAAGCAATGAAAACAGGTTCTTTTCAATTCAGACTGCCCCTTGTCACAAGGTCTTGCCTGGCTTCCCACTTGTAGCTGAGACCTGCAAATGACACTGTGGTAGAGAAGCATGTGGGGGACTTGGTGGAAGGTCCCCAAGGCGTGGCTATGGAGGAGGAGGGGCCCCTTTCCTGGCAGGTACCAGCACTGGCCTGGACCTTCTGTGGGCCTCCTCTGCCCCCTGCTGGCTGAGGGAGGGTTTAGCCTGGGAGACTGCTCCTCGGCAGTCTGTCTGGCTAGTCACCTTTGGAACAGGCAGAAGTCCATAGAGAGATATTTTTTCTGGTGGGTTTTTTCAAATGTCTTTGCCTGAGAATCAAAAATCGCTGCTGTGTACATTTAGCATACCTAATAATTCTATTATTTGGGGTAATAAATGCCTAGAGAATTTTAAAAATCCAGCATACCTCTTACCTTCTCGCACATTTTCTTTTAGGTCTAGACCATGGGACAGGAGACATGTATGTAGCAGGTAGAGAAGGTAATGCTTTAGAATGAGGTGAAGGCTGTGAGTCAGTGCCATTGGGGAAGCTGGCCGTTAAACCGCTGAACTCGGGAGACATGCCTCTCCTGGGGAGCTGGGGAGCCCTGGCAGCAAGACCCACCCCAGAATTCTCTCTGCAGCCCTGTCATTGTAGGACCCTTGGAACGCTCAGGGTGTGAGGCCTTACAGGGAGAGGAGCTGCTTTTCCTCGGTTCCCAGAGATCAAGTTTGGGCTGGCCTGGGCCAGGGCCAGGCAGAAGATGGCTCAGTTCCCTAGTCTGATGCTCAGACACTCAGCCCAGAGGCAGAATTGAGACCCTCCCACCCCCAGGCCAGCCACCTCTTTTCACAGTGGGAATGTTGGCTAGGCCCTGGTTGTTGTGAGGCCAAGTGGCAGGGTCTGGCCCAGAATGTTGGCAGCCCCCGGCTCCCCCCGCCAGCACAGACAGGCCGTGATTTGCCTGCAGGCTCCGTTGTGTGAGAAGAATGCAGAAAGATTGGTGAGTGGGGATCCTTCTCTCCTTTAAACCCACACTGGGGGTACCATCAGCAAGACTTGGCCTCATGAGGTTTCAGTTCCACATCCCCACAGGGGCCCACACACTGGGCAAAGTCCTCAGTGGGGTAGCCACAGACAGGACCCCACTTCTGCTTTGGTGGGGAGAGCTAGGAGAGGCAGGGTGGGAGCCAGCTTCTCAGCCAAGTCATGGCCATCAGGTTGCGGGCACGGCTTGGGATGGATCTGGTCGTAGAACCGGTCCCTGCTTCGGAGTGAGAAGGAATCAGCAGCAGCAATGCCGTGCCGCTGGCTAGAACTTAAAATGCAGGAAGAGAAGAGGCCCCCTTTTCCTTCCCCATCTCTAGAATGCAGGCATTGCTTCTCCTGCTGATTGGGGAGTAGAAATCAAATCTGAAACATTCCTGATGTAGCAGCCAGAAGTTGTTCCACCAGGAACCCAATCTCCAAGGCCCCAGGCCATATGTTTTCAATGAAAACACCACAGTCAGAATAAAGGCGCAAAGGGTAAAAGTAGCCACACTCCCTTCCGTTTAGGCTCCTGCCATTTCTCACACAAATGGGGTTAATTTTTCTTTTTTAATCCTCACCCAAGAATATGGTTTTCATTAATTCTAGAGAGGAAGGGAGAGGGAAAGAGAAAATTGAACCCACGGCCCCTCGGTCCACAAGACAGCGCTCCAACCAACCGAGCCACACTGGCCTGGGCTGGAGTTTGGTAGTCAAGGACTTCATTGGCCATGTGACAAAAGAAGGAAGACTTTTAAATTTCCCCTGATCCAACCATCCCCCTGGCCCACTCTGTTTTTTAGCCTTTCACACCCTGGCCAGCATTACCCCAGGGGGAAAAAGTCTTTCTTCCAGGAGTTGGTGTCCTCCCAGGCTGCTGAGCGGTTGAGTGTAGCCTCGGGGACCCTGTGCCTGCATGGGGATATGCGGTCACCTACAGGCCGGCAGCCACATGAACAGCCTGTTAGCACGTCCCGGCGCTCACTTCTCTCAGCCCCAGTCCCGCTCTGAGGAACAGGGAGCGCACCGAATGAGCAGTCTCTGTACTTGCTGGCCCGCTCTGAGGTTCCTGATTTACCAAGGGCTTTAATGTTTTCTCCAAGTACAGCTCCTGCAAACTTGATTTGTTCTCAAGGTGAATCAGAATCTTTTATTAAAAAAAAAATTTTTTTTTAATTAATTTTGAGAGAGAGAGGAAAGAAGAGAGAAACATCAATCTGTTCCACCCATTCATGCATTCATTGATTGACTCCTCCTGTATGTGCCCTGACCGGGGACAGAACCCACAATCCTGGTGTATCGGGACGATGCTCCAACCAGCTGAGCCACTCGGCCAGGGAAGAATATTGTTTTTTGTTTTTGTTTTTGTTTTTTTGTGGTACGTTCCCCTAGCAGGAACCGAACCCGGGACTCTCTGGTCTGCAGGCCAACGTTCAACCGCTGAGCCAAACTGGCCAGGACAAGAATCTTGTATTTTTTAAAGCAATTTTCTTCTTTTAAGTATGGCTTTTTAAATTTGTTTTAAGGACCACTGGGAAAGTCAGGCTTATTCTTTTGCCCTCCCCAAGTAAGTTGTCAGAGGCATCTGTTAGGTCCTGGTTCCTGAGAAATGACTTGCTACCCTTCATGATGGGGCCTCGGATTGTGGAGTGGAAGATGAGTCAGTGATGAAGGGACCTGGGGGCTTTAGCATCAGCCTGGTTGTGGGGACAGGAGGGACTAGGAGCCCTCTGCACACAGGCAGTTTTCAGATGATGCTCAGATGCAAATGGGGAAGAAAATAGGTCTTTGCTTACCAAAACAGGGCCACAAAAATGTAGTTGGTTTACACCGTGGCAAAGTGAACTCCTGCTTGGTGGGAGGGCCAGCTGGTTCAGTCTTTTTGGAGGGCAATGTGGGGACACCTGTCAAATGCCTGGAAGTGTCCCGTGCTTTGCTGTAGCAGTTTCAAATTGTTTGGGGAAAAAATATTTCATGACATGAAAACTATATGAAATTTCAAATTTCAATGTCCATAAATAAAGTTTTGAATTTTTAAATTAAAAAATTATGTAAAGTTGTTTTATTATACAAGTACCTACTTTTTTTTTTTTTTCCCCTCTGTGGTACACACCCCTAGCGGGAACCAAACCTGGGACTCTCTGGTCCACAGGCCGACGCTCAACCGCTGAGCGAAACTGGCCAGGGCTAAGTACCTACATTTTTTTGGCTGCCTAGCTCCCAAAGCTGAAAATATTCACTCTCTGGCCACTTACAAAATAATCTTACCCACCACCCCTGGCCTGCCCTAGAGAAATTCTTTTTCTTTTATTTATTTATTTTTTAAATTGAATTTAGAGAGAGAGGAAGGACGAGGGAGAGAGAGAGAGACATTGATGTGAGAAAGAAGCATCAACTGGTTGCCTCCCATATGCACCCTGATTAGGGCTTGAACCTGAAACCTGAATTATGTGCCCTGACTGGGAATCAAACCTGTGACCTTTCAGTATATGGGATGACTCTCCAACCAGCTGAGCCACACTGGACAGGCCTAGAGAAATTCTTACGACTCATGCACCATGACACACCTACAAGAATATCAGTAATAGCAAGATACTATACACAACCCTGGCCGGTTTGGCACAGCGGTTACAGCATCGGCTTGCGGTCCACAGAGACCCAGGTTCGGTTCCCGCTAAGGGCACGTACCTCGGTTGCAGTTTGTCCCCGGCCCTGGTTGGTCGTGCGGATGGCGGCCATTCGATGTGTCCCTTTTGTGTCGATGCTTCTCTCTCTCTCTTTCTCTCTTCCTCTCTCTCCCTCCCACTCTATCTGAACAAAAAATGGAGAAATTTCCTCGGGTGAGGATATAAATAAATAAGTAAGTAAATAAAGTAAAAGTGTCAACCTGTTCCTACCTCTGCCCATTGAAAACACCTAGAAACATTGACCAATCCAGGGGCAGTCAGCACCATGACTGCTCAGACTGTGGTCTCCAAATGTCATTTCACAGTGAAAGGACCAGGACTCTTTGCAGAAGCATGTGTTTCCAGGACTTGGGCAGGACCTGGAGCTTCTTGTCATACCCGGTAGTGAGGAAGCGAGGGGGTCGTGTCAGAAGTACTCAGGAGCCAGCTTGAAGAGGTTCCTACGGGCTACAGATGGGAATTTGAGCATCGATAACAGTAGAAATGATGCACTGAGACACTGAAAATATACTGAAATCAATGAGTTCATAATGACTAAAAACTAGTCACTCTTGGGGAATTCTAAGGCATCAACTCATTATTCTAAATAAAAATAAAGGGAAAGAATTAAGCATTTATCCTGCCTTTTTTATACCAGTGGTAGTCAAATAGTAGATGAAGGAAGAAGTTTTTTTAACTTAAAAAAAAAAAAAAAAAAGGTCGGTTTATAGGAAATTGCAGAAAAATAGTAATGAAAGCCCTGGCCCGTGTGGCTTAGTAGGTTGGAGTGTCACCACGTGTTGGTCCCCAGTCAGGGCACGTATCCAGGTTGCAGGTTTGGTCCCCAGTCAGGGCAGGTACAGGAGGCAACTGATCGGTTTCTCTCTCACATTGATGTTTCTCCCTCCCTTTCCTCTTTAAAATAAAAAAATAAAAATAATACCAAAAGGTCCCATGTACCCTGCACTCGGTTTCCCCAGTGGTAACATCTTGCACAGATACAGAACAATATCACAACCAGGGACTTGACATTGGTATACTCCACAGATCTTGTTCAAACGACACCGCTTTTACATGTACTCCTGTGTGTACATGTGTTTAGATCTATGCGATTGTATCACATGTGTAGATTCACACCAACACAGGGAAGTTTCTTTTTATAGTATTGCAGTTGCCAAAGAAGGAACGCTAGAGTTGGAGTATCTCCATTTTGCAACTTCCAGTGAAATCATGGATTTAAATACTAAGTAACAGCTCTTCATATCCTAAGGGATAGAATGGGGTATCATGTGCCTCCTGATGAAAGAACACAACATCTATGAAGTATTCTTCCCAAAAGGATCAAACCCTAATCTGAGTATGCCTCAAAGGTCAACTACCATGTGATATACTATATTAACAGCATGAAGGACAAAAACCACATGATCATCTCAAGTGATGCAGAAAAACATTCGACAAAATTTAACACACTTTCCTGTTCCTGACAAAAACACTCAACAAACTAGGAATAGAAGGAAATTACCTCCACAAAATAAAGGCCACATGTGAAAGTATATGTACCACAGCTAACATCGCACTCAATGATGAAAGACGGAAAACTTTTAAGATCAGGAACAAGGCGAGGGTGCCCACTCTTGCCACTTCTATTTAACCTAGTACTGGAAGTCCTAGCCAGAGCAGTTAGGCAAGGAAAAGAAATTTTAAAAATCCAAATTGGAAATAAGCAAAATTATATCTAGTCTAGGATGATGTGACTTTATGTGTAGAAAACTCTAAAAATTCTTAAAAAAACAAAAACTACTGTTGGAATAAATGAATTTCCAAGTTGCAGGATTCAAAATCAACACACAAATATCAGTTGCTTTCTACACACAATGAACAATCTGAAAAGAAAATTTCAAAAATAACTCTGTGCATCAAAGGAATACCCCCTCTCTGCTGCAGGCAGCCTCCCCCAGATCTCGCAGGCCCTGCCCCACTGTGAGAGTCTTCCAGCCAGTTTCCTATCCCTCCACCTGCCTCGGGCTCACTCAGGGGTTTTCCAGCTGAAGGCTGCCCCAGAGAGTCCTAAACTGGAGATTCTCCAGGGACAGGGACTTCTCAGAAACCAGGCTTTCCCGTTACTGAATTTTAGTTTCTCTTTCATTCTTAGCATTTGTCCAGGTTCACCTGGACCACCCACTGATGACTTCTCAGTTAAACTGGAAATGCAATTTCCATTTGCTATTTCATTTACATCAGTTGGGACTGCCCAGTGAGCCTGGCTAAAAGCAGAGCCATGTAGCCAGACTTGAGATTTGGCCATGGCTACAGCTTGGGTCCTGGTGCTGGTGACTGTGGTGCTGGGCTTTGCCAGAGCAGGCCCTGTCCCCACATCCCAACTCACCATATCCAGGAGGGTTCCACTCTCTGTTACCACGGGAGCTGGAAGCTTTCAAGAAGGCCAATGACACCTTGGAAGAGTCGCTCTCCCTGAGTAACTGGAGCCCCAGCTCTTGCCTCTTCCCCAGAACTAGGGACCTGAGCCCTGTGGCCTTGGGGGCCCGGCTAGACTTGATACACATGGTCCTGGGAACTATGGCTGACGTGTCCCCTGGGGGTTGTCCTGGACCAGCCCTTCGAAGGCTGTGCCACATCCACCCCAAGTTCCAGGTTTGTGCCTCGGCTCAGCCTACAGCAGGCCCCAGCCCGAGGCCACCTCTGCCACTGGCTTCAGCTCCAGAAGGCCCCAAAGGAGTCCCAAGGCTGCCTGAGGCCTCTGTCACTTTCAACCTCTGTTGCCTCCTCACGTGGAACCTGAACTGTGTTGCCAGTGGAGCCGTGCCCGGCTGAGAACCGGACCCACCCCCACCCATCCGGGGCCCAGAACTCCTTTACGCGCTAAGCTCCACCTAGGCCTTAAGTTCTCTCCTTATTTATGAAGCTGCAGCCCTGACTCATAAGGAATGTTTATTTTTCCACTTTTGTAAACAGTAAGGGATTGGAAAAAAAGAGCCAACGACCAATTTTCAGGAGATTGAAAGAACATAGGAACAGCAGGGCCGCGATGAGCAAAATGTAGACTGGCAAACTTGAAAGGTCATTCCAGTTTCTTCAAAAAATATATTTCTAGGAAAAGAGAAAGATGGGGCCCCTATGCTCTATAGGGACATTTTATAGAGTAACTGTGATTTAAAGAGCTATCCACCAATCCCTGGGACTTTTTTAGAGCATGGATTTATAAGACCACTGGACGTAGGACATTGACTGGATATTTGTCACTATAAAGCAGTTCTTGACCTGTGGGTCACGACCCCTTTAGGGGTCGAATGACTCTTTCACAGGGATTGCCTAAGACATAACAGTAGCAAAATTACAGTTACAAAGTAGCAACGAAAATAATTTTATGGTTGGGGGTCACCACAACATGAAGAACTGTATTAAAGTGTCACGGCATTAGGAATGAGCGGATAGAAAAAATGCACTTTAAGGAAGATAATAGCATCAGGAGCCCCCTTCCAGCCACAGCCCCACCCTCTTCTTCACTCAGCTTCCACCTGCGTCTTACGTGGCTGCTCCGTTCCAGCCAGAAAGGAGGATCAGGGTGGGAAGGACGACTCAGAAGCCACACAAAGCACTTTTCCATCCCAGGGGACCAGACAGTTATTTGACCACACCTGGCTTCAGGAGAAGCTAGGAAAGGCAGTGTTTATTCTGGATGGCCATATATCTGAAAACCAGGGCTTCCGATACCAAAGGAGAAGGGGTGAATGGAGATCAGGGTTCGATTTGCAGTGTCTGGCACAACACTCATCCCTCTGACACAGGTACAGGTGCGTGGGGTGCCACAGACTGGTGCTCGGAGCTGGCAGCAGAGCTAATGTTGTACAGCTGGTGGGCCCGATGATGTTTAAATATGCTTGTCATTTACATTACAAATTAAGAATCTGCTCGAAGCCTCCACTCCACTTTGGATGCAGAAGCGAGTGTCTGGCTTCCTTTGCTCTCCTAGGCTGGGTGCCTACCTCTTGGAAGCTGTTACTGGCAGCCAGGATGGTGGGTGCCATTTCCTAATGCTGTACCTAAAACCAAGCCCAGCACCTGGGCCCTGATCTGGCCCAAGGCCTGGATATTTGTTTAGCCGGTGCACGAAATGGAGAAAGCTGTTCAGTCTCTTCCCCGGCAGCTGAGCCACCTCGTGGAGGCCAACCCAGCAGAGTCAGCATCGTGGGCACATGAAGCCAAGGCACCCCAAACAACAGCTGCTCTTATACCACCCTTAAGATTTTTGCCATGCATTTTGCTTTTGAGTCAGGTGTCATTTTTTTTTTATCTTAAATTGATTTTTAAAGGAATCTCCCATCATTGCTGTAGATAGAAAACCAATATAGCCTACACTAAAAAAGGTAACTGAAAACCTAGCTAAGATTCTGCCAAAGGCTCTGAGCCTGAAGCCTTTCTCTCTGTTAAAACAAGCTAACATTAAACTGACTTCCTCTTTGAGGCATTAAAATGGATCGAAAGAATTAAAAATGGAATTCCTTTTTTTCCATAACATCCTTCAATGTTATTTAATGCCTGTCAGTCACCTACAACAGTCATTTCTCCTGGGCAACATGGCTGAACTCTGTATACCTGTTTCCCCATCTGTAACCTTATAGGAGTGTTGAGACTATTATATAAGCTCATGCATGTAACATCCCAGCATATAAAGTGCCTGGCTCATAATATAAGCACTCAAATGCTGGCTCTCATTATCTGTCAGTTTCATGGAAAAGACAATGTCATTAGGCTGGCTGGTGTCGATTTCCAGGCAGGGCACATGCCTGAGTTGCGGGCTCAATCCCCAGTAGGGGGCGTGCAGGAGGCAGCCGACCAGATGTTTGTCACTGACATTGATGTTTCTCTCTCTCTCTGAAAAGTCAATAAAAGCATATTTAAAAGGAAGAAAATGTCATTAAAGAACTAAATATGGCCTGGCTGGTGTGGCTCAGTGGACTGAGCATCCTCCTATGGACTGAGAGGTCCCGGTTCGATTCCCAGTCAGGGCACATGTCCCGGTTGCGGGCTCAATTCCCAGCAGAGAGCATGCAGGAGGAGGCTGATCAAGGTTTCTCTCTCACATCGATGTTTCAATCTCTCTCTCTAAAAAATCAATTAAAAAATATTTAAAAAAAAAAAAAAAAGATCTAAATAAAACCCGAGCAACTCAAACTTCAGAGCAGCAGGGAAAGAAGACATAAAACCCCAAACACTTTATTTAATAATGGAAGACACTTTATTATTTTTTTAAATCATCCCTCAACATTTCAACTCTTGGTAGAAATCAAATGCAAAACACTTGCATTTTTAAATTAGCATATATTTAACTTTCTCACTCACAGCAATCTCATACAGAGGCACACACCGAGGAGCATGGTCAGCGCATTTCCTAGTCCAGTCCACGAACACAGTATTTCCGTGATGAAACAAACATGGGACTTTCTCTCCAAGACAGACTTAGCCGTTCCTGCTTTCGTCCACTGCATGAGTTACGTGGCATCAGTTGGTAAAAAGAGTTACTGTAGTGCTGGAGTGATTGGGAAATGGAAAACTAGAAAACTAGAGCTCTCAGGAGTGGGACAGGCATCGACACTTCTGAAACGTGGAAAGGAAGAACATCAAAGATGAATGAATGCCCCAGAATGGGGTGGTCTTAGTAATAAAGTTGGTTGAAATTCAGCTTTATATACACGTTTAATATCTACATGTAATCTACTAGATATATATAAAAAAGCCATAGATTTGAAAAACCTTAAAATCACTCAACTGAGTTGGAAGAACACCAGCAAATTCACAGTGGCCTCAGGATTCAGCCAGACTTAAATTTGTTCAAGAGCTGAATACCTCCTTCCACCAGAAAACCCACTGCATGTAAATTCCTATAACATTCTGTACATCACAAACACTTATGGCTAGAATATATTATTATTTCACAAGGAAGTAGTTTTATTTTCAAACTCTTGCCCCACTCCTGCTCTGCACCCCAAAAGGAAAATCCAGGGGTCAGTCATTCACATGAGGAGTCTAAGGGGCCTTCGGGTTTGGAAGCGCTTGGGCTCAGCTGAGACTCTCAGGAGACACTGTCTGATGCGGGCACATGCCAACTCCTCCCCACTTTTAGTGCAAAAAGATCGCAAATGGTGCAGAGTCCTGGGAAGAGGTGAAGAGAAGAGGACTGAGATGGAGGGGTGATGGGAATCCCATATGAGTTTCCTTCTGAAGCGAGACTCGGGACATGTGGAGTGTGAGGTTCACACTTGGCAAGTGGCAAAGACCAGGCTGTAGATCCGCAGGCAAGGTTCCTGACTTGTCATGAGGTTGTCAGTCTGCAGGTGCACAGACCTCCCGGCCCGCACCAACCCCCGAGGTGCACACTGGAGGTAGGTGTATATTTATTGTAGGGAAGACAGTGGCTTTCCACCAACTCAGGAGCAGCCTCCATTCCTCCTCTGCCCCCACACTCTCCGCTCTACCTTCGGGCCAGAGTGAGTGGAGGACACGACATGGAAGGCCTGAGGCCCTCCCTTGGAAGACTAAAGAACCCAGGGCATTTTTATAAATAGCTACACAATTAATGTTTTAACCACTTTAAAACACACAGCAAGTTGAATATTTATTTAAAAATAAACTTCAAAAATTATCTATTTACAGTACAGTAAGAAGGGCATGTGCAAACAACAGAAAGGGGGAATCAGTCCTGCTGTGGAAGGTCCACACTTCAATGTGTTGGAGCAAAGTTCACAAACACCATTGGCTGAACTGAGCTGTGGTGGCAACAGGATGACATTCAGCTAATACCGTATTGGGGGGAGGGGGCAGCAAAGGGATGAGCCACTGGAAGAGGCCCAGTGTGGCAGGAGGGCTCATTTCACAAGCCAACAGGCCTCTAGCTCGCCATTCCAGGTGGGCATTTGGAGGTGACCTGGAGGTCCCTTCCCAGTCCAAGTTGGCTTTGTGGGGGGAAGGGCAGATGTGGCAAGAGTCCCAGAGATAGAAATCCTCTTAAAAAAAAAAAAAATAGGGAGTGGAGAGATTAGCAAAAATGAATCTGAACGGAAATGCCACCCTCTCCCTTGTTAGGTGAAAAGCAGCCATCAACTGAAATATGTCAGTCACTAAGTGAATGCCCACATGGTGCAGCCAACCCACATCCCCGGCACCTACATGGCCAAGTGCAGGTCTCTGCTTCCCAGGTCAATGCTTTGACACTTCTTCCCCAGGACACCAGAAAGGTCAGCGGTGTAGCCCTTGGAGCAGGGAGGTGCAAGGTCCAGTTTATCTATACACGAGATGGGAGAACTGGGTGGACTTGTAGTTCAGCTGGTTGTTGGGCATGAACTTGTGCAGCTCACTCTTTTTGCAGCAGGGGTCGTAATGGTAGGCGCTGAGGCAGGCATCGCAGGAAACTTTTGAACATTGGGTGCAGGTGTTGGTGGCACCCGGGCGGTTACAGAAGCCGCAGCGGGAGGTGGCAGTAGTGGAGGACTTGGACTTGGAGTGGAGGTGCGCCAGCTGAGTCTGGCCTGCATACTTTTCCCTCAGAGATGACCCATGGGCCAGGCTGTCGTGGGTGGAGGACTTGCCGGGGAAGGCGCTGGGCTTGGAGGCTGGGGGACAGGGGAGCAGACTGTCACAGCGCTGGCAGAGGGAGGAGCTGCAGGACAGGCCGCAGTTTTGGCACTTGGATAGGGCGGACTCTTTGGCGGGGGGCGAGCGCTTGTGGTAGATGGAGTGGGCATCGTTTCTGACCAGCCACACATCGGGTCGCAGGGCGTCCTGCCTCCGGTAGGTGGCCCTAGGTTCTGAGTCCGTGTACAGATCCACGTCATCCTGAGCAGAGAAGTACGTGCCACGCAGCAGGCCAAGGCCATTGCTGGGGGAGGAGGATGGATGGTCATCAGGGCTGCCATGGGGGGAGCTGGCCATGGCCAGGAGCGAGGGGGACGGGCGGATGATCTCGTCCTTGAGGTCATCTCCCACATCTGCCACCGCGGGCTCCTTCCGCAGGCTCAAGGAGGTCTTCAGGGGCGGCTTCCGGCTCTGGCTCTCCCAGTAACTGTCGTAGGCGTCCACCGACCTTGAGAGTTTGGTCACACGGGGCTTGTAGTAGTCCTTGGCCGCCCGCTCGCTGGCCGACTTCTGGAGGGCCACTCGGGCCATCGAGGCTGGTAGGTGCTCTCGGGCCTCGGCCCGTCGCCGCAGGGCGTCCGAGCAGCCCCGCACGTCCTCCGCACTGCTCTTGCGCTCGCTCACCACGTCCAGCTCCGAGTAGCCCTTGTCCTTGACTTGTGAGTGGATTTCCAGCATCTGCTCGCACTCCACCTTGGCCAGAAAGAGTTCAAAGGAGACCATCTTCACCTGCAGGGTCTCCACCAGCTCCGTGAGCTTGTATGCAGTCCCCAGCTCAGGCACGTAGCCCATGTAATTCAGGATGGCTCGGATGTCCTCCTCCAGTAACGTGGACTTGACGTAATAAACGAAGGGGCCCGTGTAGGTCTAGAGAAGGAAGGGGGACAGACAAAGAGGCAGGGCTTTCTCTCTGACACACGAGGAAGCCACCTTAAAGCACAGCACTTCCAAGTCGGGACTGGAGCGTGGGGAAGCGCGGAAAGGGGAGGTAGTGATTCCAACAGCTTCTCACTACAAGGCAGAGGCCAATGCTCACCAGCAGCTCAGCCACTGGTGGGAGGGAAATGACACACGGCTCCTCTCAAGCACAGGGGCAAAGCCATTGGTTAGCTTTCTGCAGGGGGCAGGGCAAACTCAGCGAACAAAGAGAACTGGATCAGAGGCAGATGCCTGAGAGCAATGCGAGTATTCCTTTCTGGCATTTGTACAAAGGTCTGAAAAATACAGGTGAGGCAGAAGTAGGTTACAGCCCTGCTGGTGTGGCTCAGTGGACTGAGCCATGGCCCATGGACTGAGCGGTCCCAGTTTGATTCCCAATCAGGGCACGTGCCTGGGCTGCCGGCTGGATCCCCAGTAGGGGGCGTGCAGGAGGCAGTGGATTGATGTTTCTCACATGGATGCCTCTCTCTCTCTCTAAAAAAATCAATAAATTTAAAAAATAAAAAGGTATATAGTTTTTCTTGTGGAAAATAATAATACAAGAATAAACTCTGTGTTTCGCATACTCACAACTGTAAACGTACTTTTGCCCCACCCTGTAAGTCAGGCTTAAGACTCTGACTTGGTGGAAACCCCCCTGAACCATCAGTGCCTTCAGAATGACTCAGAATTCTCTCACATTCATCCTCCTCACTCCTTCTCTGTGACTCCCAGACCTCTGCGGCAGCCTCAACTGGTGTCCCCACCCACTCCTGCCCCTCAGTAGTCTATTGCCCGTACACCAGCCAGAAGGGTTCTCTTCGAATGTAAACTGATTCCGGCACTGCCTTGCTTCCCAGCCCACTTAGGATGAATCCAGGCCCTCTGCCCTGGGCCTCAAGGCCCTGCACAACCTGGGTACTGCCTGCCTTTCCAACCTCCCAGCTGCAGACGTGAGCTGCCAAGGGCGAGGACCAGTTAAGAGATGACACTAGACAGAGAGGCAAAGTGGGGAGCCACAGGGGTAATTCTGGTTATCTCAAAGGCAGTGGGGAACACAGGAGGGTCTGCAGGCAGAGGAGGGATGTGATCAAACTGGCACAAACCCTCTCAAGATAGACTGGAAGGGGCAAGAAAGCAGAAGGGAGACCAGTGTGGAGGGCCCTTCCCTAGACCTTACCTTGATGCTTCGGAATTCCTTCTTCCATGGGTAGAGGAAGAGGTTGACACCCACCGTTTCCAGCACACTGAAGGCGCAATGCAAAGCCCGCAGGCTAGAGGAGCTCAGGGCACGCAAGGAGCTCTCCACCACCTCATAGAACTGTATCAGCCGAAATCGATAAAAGGGATCCACCTTGTGCAGGCTGAGCAGGGTCGAGGCTGCCACCCGCAGGTATTCATCACTGCCGGGCCGCTGCTTGCTGGGGGGGGTGTCCACTTTGCCCTCATGGAACTGCACGTACTTCCGAAATAAGTCATCCTTATATTTTGTATCCATTGAACTGGGCTTCCCCATGCGATCCAGGGACAAGGGGCTACCTCATCCCCTCCATGGCCTCGGGGTTAGAGGCAGGGACATGGCTAGAAGCACTAACATGTTGCCCACCTGGACCAGCGGAGTGCTCTGGAAGGGGAAGAACGAGAAGCACGTCATTCCTCACATGGTCCACAAATCAGCTGTGGCTGCTGCGGCAAAACAAAATACAGAACTGACCTAAGGCACAGTGGGCACCACCAGCCCTGGGCCCCACTCTGCTCCTTCATTCAGCACATTTACTGACCACGTACTACATCCTCACAAATGAAGAATATGATTAGGGAACCTAATCTGGTTTTGTGGGGAGAAGCAGTGTTAAAAAGTCCTCCTGAGCCCCGGCCAGCATGGCTCGGTAGGACAAGCTTGGTCCCATGCACCAAAAGGTCGTCGGTTAGCCAAGCTGGTGCGGCTCAGTGGCTGAGCACTGACGCGTGCATCAAGAGGTTGCTGGTTTGATTCCCGGTCAGAGCACATGCCCAGGTTGTGGGCCCGATCCCCAGTGTGGGGCATGCAGGAGACGGCCAATTGATGTTCTTTCTCTCTCATCGATGTTTCTATCTCTCCCTCTCCCTTCCTCTCTCTCTAAAATCAATAAAGAAAAAAAATTTTTTTTTAAAGTCTCCAGATGGATTTTTGATCAGGGAACATGCCTGGGTTTTGGCCTTAATCCCCAGTAGGGGGCATGCAGGAGGCAGCTGATTGATGTTTCTCTCTCACATTGATGTTTCTCTCTCTCCCCCTTCCTTCCTCCCTCTCTAAAATTAATTAAAAATAAAAGTTCTCCTGAGCCAGTGACAGTTAGACCTGCAGGCTGAGGAGTGTGCCAGGCAGAGGTGGGCGAAGGGTGTAACACAGAACTGTTGGCAGGCAGAAAGGCCCTGAGCTAACACTGTCAGTGCTTACCACGTGCAGGTACACATTCTGTCTTCTCTACAACCGAGGAGACCGGTACTACTGTTATCCCCATCTCACAGATGTAAAAACCGAGGCATTAAGTAAATTACTGAAAGTTACAAACTAATCAGAAACAAAGCTGAGACAGAGCCCTGGCAGTCCGGCTCCAAAGTCCATGCCTTGAACCACCACGCCCTGCTTTACTGAGGCAGGAAGGAAGGAGCTTGGTTATGAACAAAAAGCCTACAGTGCGGCTGAAGCAGTGAGAGGGGAGTTGAAGCTGCAGGCGTGGGCAGCACTCCATTCCCAAAGGCCGCAAAAGCAAATTAAGAATTTTACATTTATTCCAAGAGCCATGTGAAGCACCTGTCTGAAGAGTTCAAAGCAAGGGGAAGAGAGACATGATCCTATTTGCAATTTTTTTTTTTCTTTTCTTTCTTTTTTTTAATCCTCATTCGAGGACATTTTTTCATTTTTTGTTCAGACAGAGTGGGAGGGAGAGAGAGAGGAAGAGAGAGAGAGAAACATCGACGTGAAAGGGACACATCGAGTGGCTGCCACCCGCATGACCCAACCAGGGCCGGGGGCAAACTGCAACCGAGGTACATGCCCTTAGTCAGAACCGAACCTGGGTCTCTCTGGACCGCAGGCTGACGCTCTAACCACTGAGCCAAACCAGCCAGGGACTATTTGCAATTTTTAAAAAAGACCATGCTGGCTGCTGGTCCCTGGAGAGTGCTTACATCTGCCTTTGATGGCCTGCATTCCCCTTTACCTTAAGAGCAGTTTACAGTTCCACTGGGAGAGGACAGACATTCTGAGCCGGGACACGCACAATTTACACACTCTTGCTGTCTGCTTGGCTGCCCGTTAGTGGAACACTTACAGATCCAGCAATATTTTCTTTTTTAAAATTTTTCTTTTTTTATTGATTTTAGAGAGAAGGAAGAGGGAGAGAGACATAGAAACATCAATAAGAACACTGAATGGCCACTTCCTGCATGCCCCCCACTAGGGATTTGGCCCACAACCTGGGCATGTGCCCTGATTGGGAATCGAACCGGCACCCTCTTGGTGCCTGGGTTGACACTCAACCAGTGAGCCACAGCGGCCGGGCTCCAGCAATATTCTTGATGCCATAATGCTGGGAGCAAATCGGACTTACTGAGGAATTTGGCCAGGGCCAGGAGCAGGCAACACGGCACAGGGGTGACAAACAGATTCCAAAGCCAGGCTTCCGGAGTATGAATCCCGGATCTGCTTCTCTAGGTTACTTTGGCAAGTTACTCAATCTCTGGGCTTCAGTGTTCTCATCTGAAAAAAGGGGGCTGATAACAGTACCTAGAGTTGGTGGACTCTGCACTCTGGACTTAAAATTGGTATGCCAGCTTAGAAGAAGTCCTTGATAGACAAGCAGCCATTCCTGGTGTTTGAAGGTGCTATACCCCCCAAGATGCCAGGCTTTCCAAGAAAGTAAGATCAGAGTGGGACAAATCTGACAAGATGATGGATGTGCATTTTCACACTCACCTGTCCTGCCTTTCCTGACCACAGCTCCATGGGTGCAGGGATCATGACCCAGTTACTCAGTAAGGTAACCTAAGCATGGGGCCAGGAGCAGGGTATGTGCTTCAGAAATACCTGCTGTCTGGCCCGGCCAGTGTGGCTCTGGCTGAGCATGGACCCATGCACCAAGAGGTCACCGGTTCAATTCCTGGTCAGGACACATGCCCAGGTTGTGGGCCCGATCCCCAGTGGGGGGCATGCAGAAGGCAGCCAGTTGATGTTTCTCTCATCGATATTTCCTATCGGTCTCTCCCTCTCCCTTCCTCTCTCTCTAAAAATCAGTAATAAAGAAAAAATCTTTTAAAAAGAAATACCTGCTGTCTGGGTGAAGAAGGCTCCTGCTGGCAGTGGAAAATGGCAAACAAATCCACTTAAGATAAATTCTACATCCTGACTAAGGTCAAAGGCTCTACACGTTCAGACCCCTGCTCACCTCTCACAGCAGTCTTTCGCTTCCCTAAGTCCCACCCACATGACCTGTATGTTCCTCAAACTTGATGAGCTCCATTCTATCCCAGGACCTTGGCACATGTTCCTTCTGCATCTTCTTCCTCTGACTCTTCCTATAGCTGGCTCACTCTCACTCAGGCCTCAGGTCAAATAGCAGCCTCCGCAGCCTCACCGACAACCCCAGCTCAGGAACTCCCACCTTCCCCGTCCCTCCTTATCCAGGTGTCCTGGGATAATCACCATCTGAAATAATCTACTGTATTTATCCATTTCCTGGTTTCCTCTTCGTCTCCCTCAATTACACAGCAATCTACACAAAGGCAAGGACCACATCTGTTTTGTTCACCAGGATGCCTAACACAGAGCCTGGCACTTAGTAGGTGTTTGATAACACAGGTGAAATGAATGATCCAAAGGATGTAAGCAATCATGATGCCTGCCACCCTTTTGTTTCTTTTACTCTCCCAAGAATCCTGGAAGATCAGCTGGAGAGAGAACAGAGGCTCCATGTCATGACATACTCTAAGTAGCTCAGGGTTAGTAAAAGATGGACCCAAGATTCCAAGCCTGGCTTTCTGACTGAGAGCCTGTGTTCCTCTCACCGCCCCATGATTCCTGAGTTCAAGTATTTACAAAGCACCTACCTCGTGCCAGGCCCTGGGCTGGATACAGTAGGGGTGGGTACAGGGTGGTAGGAGCAGAGGGGACAACAGTTGAGAAGACATAGCTCTGCCGTCAATTCTAGTTCAAAGAATTTACTGTCTAGTATCAAACTATGTATGTTCTCTTGAAAAATAAAACTGTACTGCAACCTGAAAGATGACATCACTGTCCCTGTGAATACAAACCCAGATGTATTCACCACTTTTTATTTACCTAAGAGAAGCTTCCTTCCTGCTTCTGGCCCAAGGACTGCTTGTTGGTATACCTGAGAACAATTTAAACAGAGGCACATCAAGGCTCCTCCTAAACACTGCTGTGAGTTTTCTCCCAGGAAGTCAGTTAGTGTTCAAAATCCTAAAGTCAAGGATGGGAAACCCATCTAAGAAGAATCTTGAACCAACCTACGTAGGTGAGAAAAAAGGTGAAAGAAAATGAATGTTAAAATATAATTAAAGAAAGGAGAGAAGGAAACTGACAATTATTTCGGTCCTATGTGCTAAGCACTGAGCTTTCTGCTTCAACTGCATCATCCCGTTTAATCCACGGAATAAGGCTATGAAGAAACCAAGGCTCAGTATACAATCTGCCCAACAGACCTTCAAAGGGTCAAAGGTGCGATGTGAACTTGAGGCGGCAGACCCTGAGGCCTGTGCATTTTCCCATTTATCACATTTACTGTTAAAATTAGTATCATTCTCCAAGGGATTAGTACATAAGACCCGCTGCTGAGGCTCAATGAAATTCAATGAAACCCTCAGGACAGCCCCAAGGTTAAAGAGGAAACTGAGGCTCAGAGGGGCCAAGTCACTTGCCCTAAATCCAAGGCTAGGAAGAAGTGTATCTGAGATCTGAACCTCAGTCTGATGCCAAAACCCTGACTCAAGCTCTCCGCTGCCCCGCTTTTAAGCAAAGCTGTCCGCTACATCTGCTGGACAGCTGCACTCGAAAGGGCTCCGCTAAGCTAGAATGCCCTATGACAGGGAGAGCAGAGCTGAGTTCCAAAAATTCCTCTAGTAGCAAAATTCACATCTTCCCACACAGAATGGGGCTGGAAGAGCCACAAAGCTCTGTGATGTAAGCTCAAGGGCCAAGGGAAGAAGCTGCCCAGAGGCCAGCCAGTGGAAGCAGCTGACATCATCATCCATCCTGAATACATTTTCTGAGAATACAGGCTGCATTATAGCTGGTCATAGCTGGTGTCTCTTCTGAGCGTAGAAAATTTATGCTCAGCAATTTATTCCCAGCACTCTGCAAGAACCCAAAACACGCTCACTGCAAAAACAATGTGGTTATAGGAGACCAGACAGCGCGGTGACAGAAGCTGTTAATTTCTCCAGGCAACCCAAGGATTGGAAAGCCAAGACGTGCCAGACGAGCAAAAAAAAAAAAAAGAAAGAAAGAAAAATGGCACTTGAACATCCCTAACAAAGTCAGCCAGGTGCCCAGAGCCAAAAGACCTGGTCAGCACTTCCTGTACCCACAATCTGGGCCCCTTTTGAAAAGCAAATCAGTGAAGAGATAAGATACAGCAGACTGCAGTCAGGGAGGCGTTGGCTTTTTAATTATTATCTTTTAAGCATCTCAAAGGAAAACTGTATCTGTTGAAAACCCACTGAATGTAACTGAAATGATTCTGGGTAGCAGAGCATTCGCTTGGCTTTACCTCCACTGGCCCATTCAAGCAGAAACATCCCTCAAGCTGCATTTGAAGGCGCTCCCTCCCTGCACAGGCAGGAGCTATTTTGGTACCAGCATTGCCCGAGTCCACAGGTTTACAGATCCCTGGTCTAGCTTCGGCAGACTCAGACTTCCTTCAGCCTCCTAACAGCAGCCAAGGGAAGAGCAGTTCAATCCCTTCCACCTCCGCACACCACTTCTTTGCATTCATTCCAAGCCGAGGCTCTGGAGACATATCCAAAACAACGTTCCACTGGCTGTGAAACACCAGAGAGTCCCCACACACCAACCAGATTCCAGAGAAAATCAGAGAGAGGCCTTCCAAACCTCTGAAAATAACCCCGGCGGTGCTGAAATGGGGCTTCCCTAGTGGCAGCTGCCTCTCAGAGGGGCTCTGAAGGAAGCAGTTTCCCCTCCCTGCAGGGGACAGAAGCTGGCGGCTGCTATTCCCAGCCTGGTAATTCCTACAGCCGTGGAAAGCCTCGTCAGTTGTAAAAAACACCCTAGACCCAAACTCGGGCCCTCCCCACGGGTCTGTGAATGAATTAACAGCAGCTATCATTTGGGGGCGCCTGCTGTAAGCCAGAGCTGCAGCTTCACAGGCATTATCTCATCTCACCCCCACTACGGTCCCAGCAGGCAAGTCCACTCCCATTTAACTAACTGATTGGGCAACTGAGGCTCAGAAGACTAAGTGACTTGTCCAAGGTCACACAGTGAGTACAAACCCAGGCCAGCCGCCAAAAAGCTGGGCCGAGGACCACTGTGCCGCACCTGCCTCACGCTGGGATTGGGGTGTCCTCCTCCTTGGTTAGTAGCTAAAGAAGGGGTGTTCCTCCTGAGCTGCCCTGAGCCACCTATGGCCGGTCCTAGGTGTCTGCGAAGCAGCCCCTGCGGACAAACTGGGCTCCCGGGGGGCCGAAAAGGAGGGCCGGGTCGTCGCTCCCGCCGTCCGCGAGGGGACCCCGCTCCCTGGCCGCCGAGCCCCGCGGAGTCGGACGCCCCCTCCGCCCGGGGAAGCCCCAGAGGCCGTTTCCGCCGCGGCCACCGCACTGACCCCGTCACTGCCGCCGAAGATGCCCGGCCGAAGGAAGCGAGAAGGAGCCGCGGCCGCCGCCGGAGCCGGGCCCGGGTGGGCTCTCGCCGCTCCGGCCGGCTGCAGGAGATCGAGACCAGTGCCCCAGGGCCAGTGGCGACCCGGAAACAATCGGCCCGGAAGTGATGTTCCTCGGAGGCGGGTCCAAAAGGAGGCCGGGCTGCGGCTGCGCGCTGGGCCGGGGAAAGGCCGAGGCCCAGGGATGGCGGCGGAAGGAGCGGGAGGCAGAAAAGCGAGCACAGAAGCCGCGGAATTTCACTTTGGAGACTAAAAGGCCACTGCCCGGGCTGGGGCTAGGACCCGGAAATAAACGGGCCGGGAAGTGACGCACGCTGTCGGCCCCAGGATGGCAGCTAGCCGAGTTGTCATGGGAACCGGTAAGGAGCCGGCGGCGCGTCCCCGAGCTGGGAGCGCAGACAGCGGCCCTGGCCTCCGCCTCCCGGGCTCGCCCACCGCCGACGTGACCCGGAGCTGTGCTCCCCACTGCGCCTGAGCAGGAGCTGACGGTCGGCTCCCCGCCTCCTTTGTACAGGCGGAGACGCGGGGCTTAAAGAGAGCAAGAGATGCCCAGGATCACGCGAGATGAACCCAGCCGAGAGAGGACTGTCATGTTATAAGCTGTCGTTAAGAGGCGGGTCCCGGCTTTGCCTTTGTCCCTTACCGACCTGCCTGACCTTGGGCAAGTTAACTTCCCTGAGCCTCAGTTTTTTCACCTGTAAAACGGAATAGTAATAGTACCGTGACCTGGGATTCACGTGAGAGCTGAGTTCATTTATGGGAACCGCTTATTACAATAGTTGGCATAAAGATCTAAATACATTCAGCTTTTTAAATCTGGTTAAGTCAAAGGAAGTGACCACTCTTTGCCCTCACCTTTCTTTGTCTTTTTTTATTTTGGTACGTGCCCCTAGCGGGAACGAACCCGGGAACGAACCCGGGACTCTCTGGTCCGCAGGCCGACGCTCCCAAACCGGCCAGGGCAGCCCTCACCTTTCTTAAATGGGAGTCAGCCTTGGGGAAGACCAAGATATTGCTTCCATGCTTTGTGACTTTTCACCAGGCTCCTGCAGGACCTACATGGGCATCAGTCCTGGTGGCTTGTTACTTCACTTCATGGGTTTGTCTTTACTCCCACCCACGCGTTGCCCGTGAGCTTCCCAGGCACTTGGTTTTTGTGGTTCACTGCTCACTGACTCCTTAGTGCTTGCAGAGTGCCTAGTACATACTCAAGACTGTTGAATGTATTTGCAACTGAACCATTCATTATATCTCTCTAATTTATTCCACACATTTATTCAAGACTGGAGGTCACTCCCTGCCAAGTTCTCTTCCTCCAGCGTGCTCTTGGCTCCCTGAACTTAGCATGCTCTTCTACCCTTCTGGCCTTTGTGCTCCAAATGCTGTTCCCTCCTGTATGAATGACTTTCCCCTCACCTCAGCATCCCTTCCTTGCTTTTTCAGCTACCAGTCCCAGCTCAGTCCTCACTTCTTTTCTGAAGCTTTCTCCGTTTTCTCCAGGCAAAAATCAGCCTTCCTCTGGTTCCCCACAACACTGTCTTTCATAATCTTATCTCAGCTCCTACCACAGTGGATAACATATATTTTTAAACCTGACTCCCCCACAAGACCTGGAGCTCCTTATACATCTGTGTTTTTCCTGAGCTCTGAACAAGTCTGCTCATGAGGTGCCCAATAGAGATTCCTTGATTAAAGGATTCTCTCTCAGCCTTGGTGTCCCCAGGTGGGTCTTGTCTCAGTGACATAATACATGGGGAAGCATTTGGAGAACCGACAACCTGCTATTCAAACAGCAGTGATTACTATATTTATCTGTTGCTGTCTGAGCACTACTCAAGGAGTTTATGTACTGCAGCTTGTATCAGCTCATGTTTAAGCTCCCCATTCTTTTTTTTTTTAATATGTTTTTATTTATTTTAGACAGAGATAGAAACATTGATGAGAGACAACATCGATTGACCACCTTCTGCATGCCCCCCGCTGGGGATTGGGCCCACATCCTGGCATGTGCCCTGACCAGAAATCGAACCAGTGACCTCTTGGTGCATGGGTCAGTGCTCAACCACTGTGCCACATCGGCCAGGTGAATTGGTGACCTTTTGATGCATAGGGTGATGCCCAACCAACTGAGCCACACTGGCCGGGGCTAAGCTCCTCTCTTAATTACCTGCAAGGTAATGGTGTTTACAGGATTTCCAGCTCCACCCAAACTCCTTGCCTTTGCAACAACTCAAAATAGTCCTTTGCAAACTGTTGCAAGACTGCATGAGCCTGCTAAAACATCCCTCCCAGCTCTGTGGTTCTGTGACAGACAAAAGGGAACCAGACCAGTAGGAAACCCTGGTCATTGAGACGTGGTGACATTTCATATCAGAAAAGACCCAAAGTCACTGAAAAGAGCCATGTTTTTCATCTTTTAGACAGGGTTGAAGGCCAGAGATTTCTCTGCTTGGTGATGTGGAATCACAGGAGCATCTTTTTCAGATTTTATTACATAATGATTAACAGATTATATAACAGTCATGTAACAATGATTAGGTACCTCTGCTTTCTAAGAGCCAACAACATGAACAATCTACCTACTTCTTTCTGTTTAGTAGGGTTTTTTAAATCACAAAAGTAACACATGAATTCCAACAATACAGGCATATATAGAGAGAGAACAAAACACAAATGACAAAGAAAAGCAATCCTATGACCCAGCAATTTTATTTCTTGGAATCTACCAGAGAAACAAGTGTAAGTACACAAGAGACCTGTTGCATCATTGTAATGCAAAAACAAAACCCAGAAACATTTTAACTGTCCATCAGTAGCCTAATGATGTATCCATACTAATGACTACTACGGATCACTTTACAGGATTACATAACTCCAAGATATGCAGTGTAATGAAAAGAGACATACCCTGAAATGGAAAACAAAACATCAACCAATACTATATATTTTCTAAGGATGCATATACATTAGTGCAATAATGCAAATTTAGATCATTTGTTTTTTAAATCATTCCACAAATACATATTATGTGATTTTAATTTTCCCCCAGAAATCAGTTATCTCCATAACATAGCTAGACCTGTTTTGCTCACAATTTTTTTAAAATTAATTAATTTATTTTTGTTACAGATGTTTATCCTTTTCCCCCCACTGATTCCCCCCTCCCTCTCCCTCTCCCTCCCCTCCCTGTCCCCAGCTTTGTTGTCCATGTCCATTGTTCATGCGTACATGCATATAAGTTCTATGGTTTATCTCTCCCCCACCACCCCCTCTTCTGGGGATTGTCAGTCTGTACCCCACTTCCACATCTCTGGCTCTACCCTATTCCTCAGACTGTTATGTTCATTATATTCCACAAATAAGTGAGATCATGTGGTATTTGTCTTTTTCTGCTTGGCTTGTTTCACTTAGGATGATACTTTCCAGGTCCCTCCATGTTGTCTCAAAGGATAAGAGATCCTTCTTTCTTACTGCTGCATAGTACTCCATTGTGTATATGTATCACAGCTTTTTTATCCATTCGTCTACTGATGGACATTTGGGCTGTTACCAGATCTTAGCTATTGTAAATATTGCTGCTATGAACATGGGGGTACATATATTCTTCCTGATTGGTGTTTCAGGCTTCTTAGGGTATATTCCTAGAAGTGGGATCACTGGGTCAAATGGCAATTCAATTTTTAATTTTTTGAGGTAACACCATATTGTTTTTCATAGCGGCTGCACCAGTCTGCATTCCCACCAGCAGTGTACTAGAGTCCCCTTTTCTCCACACCCTCGCCAGCACTTGTAGTTTGATGATTTGTTGATGGCAGCCATTCTGACAGGTGTGAGGTGATACCTCATTGTTGTTTTGCCCACAATTTTATCACTACTATCTGCCCTGCATGCAACAAGAGGTTCAACAACAGTAGTTATTTCTGATGGAAATTTTCATTGATGTTAGATTTAAAGAGCATAACTGTGAGCAAAACAGACACAGCTCCTGCCCTCAAGGAGTGTACAGTCTCCTTATCAGAAAGAATATTAATAAACCAAGAGTAGGATGAACTAAAAGCCTATGATTCAGAATCCAAGGTGGTAAATGTTATGAGAGGGGTATAGAGCTTGCAGCGGTTCTCAGCCTGCGGGTTGCAACCCCTTTGGGGGTCAAACGACCCTTTCACAGGGGTCGCCTAAGACATAACAGTAGCAAAAAAATTACAGTTATGAAGTAGCAACGAAAATAACTTTATGGTTGGGAGTCACCACAACATGAGGAACTGTATTAAAGGGTCGCAGCATTAGGAAGGTTGAAAACCACTGGTTAGAGAATGGAGAGGGGACCTCTGACAGGGAAAGCTGGGGACAAAATGGAAAAGGTGGCATTTGAGCTGAGCTTTGAGTGAGTTGCATGTGTGAGCATCGCCCGTTTTTCTTCCAGCTGGAGGGAAGAAAGCAATCTGAAGAAAGTACTAGAAATTGAAACAACCGCCTCCAAGCATAGAAGGTGGGGGTAATTAAGGTACTAGAGTAGGGTAGTCTCATACTATACATAGTACCTGGCTCACAGGGAGCCTTCAATAAATACTTGACTGAGAAAACCGATACTCTGCACTAGCCCTTATGGCTCAGCAGTAAAAGCGTTGCCTACAGACCAAAGAGTCCCGGGTTTGATTCCAGCCAGGGGCACGTACTTCAGTTGCAGTTTGTCCCCAGCCCTGGTTGGGGTTGTGTGGGTGGCAACCAATCGATGTGTCTCTCTCACATCAATGTTTCTCTCCTCATTCTCCTTCTGTCCCTCCAGCTCTGTCTGAAAATTAATGTAAAATATATCCTTGGTGCACACCAAAAGAAACAACCATCAAAATGTAAAGGGAACCCACTGTATGGGAGAGCATAATCGCCAATGATACATCAGATAAGGGGTTAATTTTTTTTTTTTTTTTATCCTCACCCGAGGACATTTTCCCTTTTTTTTTTTTTTGTTCAGG